TTTGTGTTGTGGCCTGGCATCGCATAGGCCGTCCGTGGGAAGAGCGGTGTGCCGTGAACGAAGCAACCACGAATTCATACAGTACATGCGATTGAATGCCTCTGTGAACCGGGGCTATGCTACAACAGTAACGCACTACTAAGTACAGTGGTGCAGTTCAGGCAAAAACCTGACACCCCGCACTCGTGCACATTTTATGTAATGAACCCGCGCTAACCCATTTGATGTCACCAATTACTGTATGTCCCGCTTCTGCACTGAAGGAGAAATACAGTGAAGGTGAACTTGACATTGTTGGCAGAAATGATTTTTTTTTCGCGAATAGTACAGTGTAAAAGGTAGGTGCGGTCCGTCTGTTTCTCAGGAGGCCGCCGCAGAGCATACAGTATTTGCACCCCACTCCAGGTCCCACGCGCAAACCGACAGATTTACCTTTCCCTCATGTATCCATCCTACGTCGTCGTCATCACCTCACACTCGCACACCCGGCCAGCATTTCCTCCTGTCTATCCCAACCACCCTTCACCCACCTAGGTCAAGCAAACTACCCATTACACCGTACTGTACAGTAGTAGGTTTTCTTACGTAACTTCCACAGTGCAGCACTTCCCCCTCCCGTCGCGTCCACTCCACTCCCCCCCCACAGCCTGCGTCTTCATCAGGCAGCTTTCTCTCACCCCCTCCCTTGCCTTGTGAAGCTCGACCGCTGACTTCAACGCTTGCTTCAGCTGTCTCCGAGCCCAAGGGTTAGCTGACTTGTATGATAATTTCTTATTCACCAGTCCTTTTTCAGAGTAGTCAAAGAGTTTGTAGTGAAGTAACGGTGTCCTTAGCTTTCAAGTCGGGGCCTTCCTTGGTTCGATTTCAACCGTGGTCGACACCCGCCGTTTGCAGACACCATTCTTTGCAGGTCTCGTGATTCCCGCCCCCCGCGACTCGGGACGTTGCGTTGACCTTGGTGCGGCCGACGCACAGGCGAGTGCAACGGTGCACTGAAGCCTAACAAGCTCGAAAAAATAGACACACCCGATAGCACACGAGCTCCGACGACAATGGCGACTGCCACGGAGCCAATGTCCGTCCCACTCCCGCCAGACTCCTCCCGGACCGCGTCTCTCCCACCGCTCCCGCTCTCCAAATCATGGAAAGACGCACCTTCCGCGAGAGATCAGCAGCAGCAGCTGGCCTCCTGCGTGTCAGCTTCCGATCAGTCCGCGCGGAACTCAAGCCTCAGTCCTGCGCGCGCTCGAAAAGCCCCCCTGGATAACTCCCCGCACTCCGTACTTGACGCCGCCTTGTCCGCCGCCTCCTCCTCCTCCTCCCCAAGCTCCTCTTTCGTTCCGCGCGATAGCCGCGCGGGAGTTATTACCAGCGCGCCAGCGAGCACGAGCGCGCCCGCCGCCGCTGATTCCGGCGCCGCGTCCGCGAATGTCTCATCGGCCACCGCCTCTCCGCGCGTTTCCGGCGTGCTCCGTACGGCGGAGATGGGGAAAATCGACGCGGGCACTCCGCCGACTATGACGAGCTTCCGCAGCCTGACCAGTAGCAGCATGGGTTTCGACAGCGGCAGCGGACAAATCACGGACACCATGGTTGCGCAGATCGACGCGGATGCCGATGAGGCGCTCGGAAAATTCCTGGCCGCTCAATCGGCGCGCAGCGCCCGGAACTACGTCCGCCGCGCCGCTTCCGCCGCGAGCGCCGCGGCGAGTCCGCTTAGAGGGGATGGCGGAGACGCGGTTGCGCGGGTTTCGAGTCTTGAGAGGCAGCAGGTGAGGCGGTCGCCCGCGAGAAACGCGGTGTCGGGGGAGATTTCCGCCGCGTGCGCCTCCCCGCAGCGGTTCCTGAGCCCCATGGCGTCGCCCGCGCGAGAAATGCAGCGTCGCAGCCGTCGCAGCATGGATTGCAGCGCCGTTGACATGCAGCCATTGGTGGAAGGGCTAGCTTCCGCCGATACGACCGTCGCGCGCAATGCCGCGGAAAGCATCCGCAAGGCGCTGAAGGAATCCGCGGAGAACTGCGCTCGGCTGGTTGCGGCAGAAGGGGTGTCTCCGCTTGTGCGCGCGATTCTAGCAGAAGACAGGGAGACCGCGGAGCATGCTATGACCGCGCTATTGTTTCTGGCGGTGACGAGGCCCGCGGCAGTGGCGGAGATTACTTCTGCGGGAGGCTTGAACAATGTTCTCCGCGTGTTAGCGCAAGAGCCTAGCGGAAGCGAGTTCCTTCGCAGCAACGCCGCCGCCGCGCTGTTTCCGCTAGCGAATTCCCCCGACGCGCAGAAAACAGCGCTGGCGGCGGGAGTTCTCCGTCCGCTGGTGGCGCTGCTACGGGAGGCCTCGTGTACGCGCACGAAAAAAGACACGTGCCTCGCGCTCGTCACGCTGGGGAGCGCAACAGACGGTGCCCGCGAAATAGTTGCGACGGGTGTTGTTCCGCGATTGATCCAGCTACTGGTGGAAGCGGAAGCAGGGGTCGAAGAATTGGCTGCTGCGGTGCTGGGGGTGGTTGCGCGGGTCGAGGAGGGTTGGAAGGCCATCCGCGCGGACGAAGATGGTTTATCCGCATTAGTGGAGTGCTTAGAGGGGGGTGTGGGACGCGCTAAGGAACACTCGGCGTCTACTTTGCTGCAGGTTGTAAAATCAGATCCTGAATCGGTAGCGGTTCTGCTTGCGGAGGGGTGTTTGCCCGCGTTAGTGGCACTTTCGAATAGCAATAGGCAGTGTAGCGATGCGAAGGAGCTTTTGGAGCTGCTGCGTGCTGCGTGCAATAAACGAAGTGATTAAAGCTTTCGTATACATTTGACAGAAGGGGTTCAAAAACTTTTGAAATTTGAAAGTTTGCCTGTGAGACCGTGAGGTGACTTTCTAAACCCAAAACCTGGATGACAAATGTATACTTCAGCTTTAAATGGGAACGCGTGGATTGCGAAAGAGGGATTCTAGCGTTTGGGTTGCCGTACCCCTTACATGCACATGGCGTGGGGCTGTATAGCAATCATGCCAAATACACATCACATCAGCCTTTATTTCGCAGGACTAAACATCACCATCGGACCTGAGATGGGGAGCTGCTAGGGATGCGTCGGCTTCCCTGATCATGTGAACTCTGCCTGAAATCCATATTCCAGGCAGAGCAGGAAGGGCAGGAGCTTTAGGGGCTGTTGGCAGGTGGGACTGGGCCCGGCAAAGGAGGGGGTGCAGTAGGAGAGAGAGGGTGAAGCAGAGGGGGTAGGAACTTCCATAGATCGTAGACCTTGTGGGGTGGCACGGGTAGCTTGGTGGTTGTAGGAAGGACTAGCAGGCATGAGGACAGAGGATGGGATGGGAGGAAGGGAAGGAATGGGGGGAGCAGGGAGACGAAGGGAGGAGCGTGGAGGAAGGGAAGAAAAGGGGAGGAAGGAAGGAGAGAAGAGAGGATAAGTTCCGGCATGGAGGCAAGACAAGACAGACAACAGCAAGTTGTAGGTTTTCTGAAAAACTCTGCTGCACGAAATTCCTACCCTGTGTTGGCCACCCCCTGGGCCAGCTGCACTTGTCATGCTGGACAGCACCATGTGGAACCGCATGGTACCGCGTGGTACGCCTCCGTAGGGTCACCTCACCGCTAACAAGCCTGTGCTTTCCACCAGGCCGGCACTAGAGAAAGCAGGTGTTGGTTAAGACAGGCAGGCAGGCAGGCAGGCAGGCAGGCGGGCGGGCGGGCGAATGGGCAGGCAGTCAGGCACGCAGGCAGACAATCGGGGATGGGAGAAAGAAGACGAGGAATGCAAGGGGTGTGGCCGATGCACAAGGAAGCTGGTGTATCCCTTGTAATGCCATGGATGGTTGTCCTGGGGTTGGCACTTGGCAGCGTTTTCAGCTCCGGTACATTGCTGGAGTTCAACTCCCGTATTACTGCGGTCTATATTGGTGTTTCTGGGGTATTTACTGGTATTTCCAGTTGGAGCTTGATTTGCTGAGATTTTTCACTCTGCACCCAATACACTGCTCATGTGGCAGAAGGGTCTGTAATGCCTGTGAAAGAGAATGTGTGTCGTGGTTGATGTGGTGGGTGCTTGTGGAGGGCATAAGTTAAGAGTGCTGCGCGTGTGCTGCTTCCGTCAGGTTTGTTGGCAGTTATGTCTAAAATGATTTGACTGTTTGCTGTTGGGGCAGCTTGAGCTTTCCTTTCTTGCACAACACTTGGATGGCAATTTTCAATCCGAAGTTTTACTGTACATTAGTTGTAAGTCCTGTGCCTTCCCTTCACTGTACATTAGTTCCACCCAGTGCTAAACAGTGGGTACAAACAACCCTGTCCACACCTTGCCTTCCTTCATGCCCTGTGATGAAAACATGTTGCTACACAGCAGCAATCCTGGTGTGCAATGAAGCAAGTTGGCATGGTATACAGGTCTTGCTAAATCTCGACATCCAGCAGCACAGCACAATCATTTGAGTGATATTTGAAGTGCTTACAGTGCCAGTACACTGGTTCGTGGTGTACTCCATTGTTTATTGCGAGTTTGATGGAAAAAAAGATGACAGCTGCAGAATCCAAACAACCATGCCCCAATCCTCTTCCCTCATAGTAACAGCCCACAGAGCGAGGCTTGAGCCTTCTACGTGTTCCTTTGCAAGGCAGGTTCCCTCTCCTATGCACTGGGTTACAGAGGGCTTTGGTAGCATGGCGAGAAGAGACCAAGGTGCAAGTGTCAGGAAGAATCTATCAGGGTTGCAATGAGCAGAGTGAGAAGAGTGAGCGGGGTGAGTGAGTCGCATCGCATGAGTTAGATCAACCAAAAGCCGCGTTGAGTGGAGCAGTGGGAGCAGTGGGGAGCATTCAGTTACTACAGGACTGTGGGACTGCCATGCTTTCAAGACGGCTTAATTTGTGAGCCCTGCGTGAGTTAGTGGATTAGCATCGGAAGCTCCTACGTGGAGTGGAGTGGAGTGGGGTGGAGGGGAGTGGAGCGGAGTGGAGGGGAGTGGAGTGAAGTCAGTCAGTCGTGGTGTACTGAGTCAGTAGCCGCGGTTGGACTGAGAGTGAGTGTAAGAGAGGGAGTGAGAGAGAGGGGAGGAGTGCAGGAAACGCACATCCTCATCAGTAAGATCGTCCCCTAGCAAGGAGGTGGCATCGTGTTGGGTGTAACTCAACGCTCTCTGCCACTGCTCCACACACAGACCCGGACTGTCCGACACTTCTCCTCCTGCTCCTACCACTCCTGGTGCTGCTGCTCCTTCTGCTCCTGCTGCTGCTCCTCCCCCGCCTCCTGCTGTTTCTGCTGGTGGAGTATCACCATCAAAGAAGAGTGGCGCCATAGAAAGAGCAGCCGACCTTGCAGGGAGAGCAGGGGTTTCACCAGCAAAGAAGCCTGGCGCGGTCCAAAAGGCAGAATCAGCATCATTGTCGTATTCCCCAGCACCAGCGGGAGCCGCCGCAGCAGCAACAGCAGCAGGAGGGGTAGCGTATGGTGATGCTGACCCAGCGGTAGCAGCAGAAGCTGTAGCAGCAGCTGTAGCGGCAGAAGCTGTAGCAGCAGCTGAAGCGGCAGATGTACCAGCAACAGCAGTAACAGCAGCAAAGGGATGGACTGGTGGTGCTGGCTTTTCCGGAGTGACCTCCATAGCAAGAGCGCTTGAAAGTGCATCAGCAGCCGAGTTAAAGCCCGAAATGGAATCCATAAAGTCACTCGAAAAGCAGTCATTCGAGAAGCAATCGTTTGAGAAGCTATCCTGGATGCGATCTTGTGGCGGCGTGTGCCTTGACGTCTCACCCTGCTCTCCGCACCTGCTGCTCTCCAGATGTGTTTTCGCAGTGAGGTGCTTGTGATAATCCCCTTCGTGTGCTCCCCCCTTCCCTCCCATGTGACTGCTACCCTGCATGGGAACGCCATTCCCCATAAGGCTACCACTCCCCGTGTGACTGTTACTTGCAGCGACCATGTGACTGCCACTGCCCCTCCCGCTGCCGCTCCCGCTGCCGATGCCGCTCTCGCTCCCCTTGCCGCTACCACTACCAACCTCTGCCTGCATTCTCGGCATCAAGAACCTCTGGTTAAGCGATTCAAAGCCCTGTTCAACCGCATACCCCCCCATGCCCATCCTGCCTCGTCCTAGCTCTCCAGGCAACACAGGCGGTGGAAACGCACTAGACCCACAGCTGGTGCTGCTGGGACTGCTGCTGCCGTGGTAAAAAAACTCATCCCCCCTCCCTCCGCTGCTGCCGCAGTTTCCACCCTCCTCCTCTTCCTCCTCCTCCTCCTCCACCTCCACCTCCTCCTCCCTTCCCCTCTCCTCCTCCTCCTCGTCCTCCTCCCTCGGCTTCTCCTCCTCCTTAAGGTAACTGTCCTGGCCCCCGTCCTCTCCCCTCCTGCCGTTATCATCCCCACTGCCGTACGAGTGTGGCCCATCTCCTCTGTTTTGCCACTGCTGCTGATTCCCCTCCTGCTGCTGCTGCCAATCCGCCTCGCTTGTGAAAAAAGAGAAGGGAAGAGCAGAGAAGGTCTGCTGAGAGGGGATTGGGACGCTCGCCAGAAGCACCTCTTCCCAGGGGTTGAAAGGGGTGGGGACTGGTGGAGGGGGGTGGGAGTTGGAGGGGAGGATGGGATGGGAGAATGAGAAGCGAGATGAGAGGATAAAGGAGAGGCAGTAAAATTATGTGTAAGGGCATTAGAGGTAAACAAAAACCGAACACACATGCAAGCACACGCGCACACGCTTGCATGCACAGACTAAGATTGAGTGGAATACCTATGACGACTTGCGGAGCACAAAATCACCTGAGATACCTGGAAACAAAAAACCTGAGAATACCTGAAAACACCTGAAAACAATGGACACCAGAAGGCAGAAGCACCTGATGCAGCAGAATGGCTGGAGTGGACACGTGCAGGGGGGAGCGGTGGTTGCGATTCCATAAGCAGCAACCACGGAGTGAGGATGGAGGGCGGTTGGCGTGAGGTGAGCAAGGGGGGCGGCCGAGTGAGGGGAGATGCGGTGAGGCGGGGAGGAGGGGTGGAGGAGGAGGAGGAAGGAGGAGGGTCTTTTGAAGCGAATGGGGATGGTGGATCGAGCATTTTTGGAGGGGGGAGAGGGGAAGGCGGGGCGAGCTTGGAGGGGAGGGCGTGGGGTGAAGCCTTTAGGGCCTGGGGGGAAAGGGGAAGGGGAAGGGGAAGGGGAAACGTGGAAAAAACGAAGGGGGAAGGGGGAAGCAAGAAGGGGGAAGGGGGAAAAAGGAAGGGAAAGGGGAAACGGGGAAAAAACGAAGGGGAAAGGGGGAAGCGAGAAGGGGGAAGGGGGGAAAAGGAAGGGAAAGGAGAAGAAATGAGGTTGAAGGGGGAAGGGTGAACGGGGAAGGTGACACGGTGAAGGAGGACGGGAGAAGGGCGATGAGGGGAGGATATGTGGAAGGGAGATGAGGAGAAGAAAGGGAAAAAAGTAGGTTCTTTACGAGGAGAGAATCAGCATCTGGAAACAAGATGTGCAATGACACGAGGAGCCCTGAGCCTCAATCCGAGTCGATTCCACGAGGTAGAAAGCCCTTCCCTCCCTCCCTTGTAACCAGACGATTCCTTCCCCACTGTCCTCCGCCTTACGAGCCTCACGCTACCGCCCTACTCCCAGCTGCCACCCTTCAGACGATACCCCAACCCCCTCTTCCCTTTCCCCTCCCCGCCCTCCCCCTCCCATTCCCCTTTCCCATATGAACCCCGGTTGGAGCCCCACTCACAGCAGCAGGCGACTTGAGGGAGGAAGGAGGTGGAAGGGGCAGGGCGAGTGATAGCTGAGCGTCCATGAGAGCAGTGGAACGGAGCGAGGCGGAGAGCTCTGCCTCCTGTGCTGATAGCAGCGACTGGTGGCATGGGATGGGGGGGATGCGGGGCAAGGGAGAGGGGGGCGGGGGGAGCGGGGAGGGGGGAGGATGTGCGAGTGATAGCTGAGCGTCCATATGGGCAGTGGAGCAGAGCGAGGCGGAGAGATCTGCCTCCTGTGCTGATAGCAGCGACTGGTGGCATGGGATGGGGGGGATGTGGGGTAGTGGTTGATGGGGGAGGTCAGGACAAAAGAGGAATGAGGGGAGGAGAGGGCAAGGAGAAAGTAACGCAGAGGAGAGGCGAAGAGAGGAGAGGAGTGGGGAGGAGAGGAGAGGAGAGGAGAGGAGAGGAGAGGAGAGGAGAGGAGAGGAGGCAAATTTGAAAAGAGAGGCAAGCGAAGCAAGAATGTGCCATCCATCTCATCCATCCACACACGACCCACCAACTTCAAACTTCAAGACCACAGATGAACATGGCACGAAGCAGAGGAAAACCTGGCGCATGCGCTCATGCTCTAAAAGGGGCTCACAAAAGAAGAGCGACAAGTAGAAAAGGAAAAGAGCAGAGGAAAAAAGGAGACATCAGCGCACCTGGAAGGACTGCTCCAGCTGAGCGTGCTGATGCTCCACTGCTTCTAGCCTCCCCACATGCTTGACAATGTCAGTTGACAGAAGACCCATGAGATAAATGATAAGACAACGCACCTGGAAGGACTGCTCCAGCTGAGCGTGCTGATGCTCCACTGCTTCTAGCCTCCCCACGTGCGATTCACCCACCCTCCCTCCTCCTCCTCCCCCTTCCACTGCTGCTGCTGCTGCTGCTGGCGTTCCCCCCTGCCCTGATGAATCTGCTCCTCCTGCTCCTGCAATGAGCGCTTCTGGATGGGGGAAGAAGAAGTGCGAGGGGCCTGCTTCTTGTACTGAGTCAGCCTGTAACGAGACGGAGGGTTGCCGAGAGAATATAGAGGAAAGGGGATGAGGAGGAATACGCAGTGGAGCAAGGGGGGAGAAGAGGAGGTGAGCGTGGGAGAAGAAGGGGAGGTGCAAAACAAGGGAGAAGTAGTGCACAGAAGAGCAAAAGCATGGGAGAGAGGGCGTTTCAAGAAAGGTGGAGAGAGGGCGTTTCAAGAGCGGGGGAGAAAGGGGGGAGGTGAAACACCCGGCAACCTTCCTGAGTAACCACTCTTTAGTAGACTCAGAAAAAGCCAGGTTTCAAGGTAGGGTAACCATCCATCCATCCATCCATCCATCCATCCATCCATCCATCCATCCATCCATCCATCCATCCATCCATCCATCCATCCATCCATCCATCCATCCATCCATCCATCCATCCATCCATCCATCCATCCATCCATCCATCCATCCATCCATCCCTTACCAGTTGCTGCAGTGCGGGTTGCAGTGCTGCCAGGGCCGCAGTGTGGTTCCCAATAACCTCTGAACGGATCAACAACAGCTCACTACCATTGCCAGTGCCACCACCACCACCACCACTGCCACCACCATCTATGCCCCCTCCTCCTCCTTCTCCTCCTCCACCTCCCTCTCCTGCCACTCCTGCTGCTGGCCCTGATTCTCCTGAACCCGCCTTGCCATTCCCTAGCTCCATAGCACCATCTCGTCCGTCCTCATCATCCCCACCACTCACGCCACCGCCATCATCAGCACCAGCACCATCGCACACACGGCTGGCGTCACAGGGTTCCTGGCCGGACTCCCTGCCTGCTTCACTGCTTCCTTGCTGCTCCTGCCCTGTGGCTCTGGAAACATGCAGGAGAGAGGGGCATGGAGGGAGACATTTGAGTCGACTCAGGCGTTCAGTTTTCTCAGGGAAAAACAGATTTTGCTTCCCGGCTGCTGTTGCCTGGTAGCAAAGGAAACGTGCAGGGGAAGGGGGGAATGACGCAGGGGTGGGAACGAGAAAGGTTGCGAGGAGAGGCAAGTGGAGCAGGGGGACGAAGGGAAGTGAGGGAGTGGGGGGGGGGGGGAGAGGGGGAGAGGAAGAGAAGGGAAGAAGGGGAGAGTGGGCGAAAGGGAGAAGGAGAGAGGGGGGGAGAGGGAGATAATCGGAGAAGGGGATAGGGGGAGAGGGGGAAAGTGGGAGAGTGGGAGAAGGGGAGGTGTGATGCGTAAAATGATAGGTGTGAGCATAGTTATAGTTATGATGGGGTGATGGCGATGACAACAGCACAGGGGCACAGCTGCAGAGCAGCAGAGCAGTAGCGGCACTGATAGCCCGCAGTGGGTGTGCTGGTGATAGTTGCTCTTTTATGGCGGCAGTGGTGGTGGCAGCAACAGCAGCAGCAAAGACAGAAGCAGACGCAACAGAAAACTTGCAAACGGGTAATAGTCAAACATGGCAGTACATCACATGCACATGCGCATGCACATGCACATCGCATGCACATGCACATCACATGTACGTATGACGGTAGGAGGTGAAAGGATGAAGAGACGTCGAATCACCTGGAGTTCCGGGCGAAGAATCGGCCAGTCAGATCCGCTAGCTTAGGGACATCCGTCTCTGCAGCACAGCACAGCACCGCACAGAGCAGCACCGCACAGCACAGCACAGCACAGCAGAGGCAAACACACACATAGAGATGTTGGCAGACAAAAACGTTTTTCCGAAATCCTCTAGTTGTCACTGCATAGTCACACGGGACAAGATGCTTGCTAGCAAGGGAGGGAGTAGTATGGACAGGGAAAAAGGGAAGGACGAAGTTGAGGGAGAGGGTTGGTGGGTGGAGTGGGGAGTACACAAAAACAATGGAACGAGCGCAGGGAACAGAACACACGAGTGAGGGCGAGAAGCACTGACCCAAGCTTGCTGACAGCTGTTGCAGCTGCCTGTTCACTGCCTTGACACCCTCTACCTCTACCACAGGTTCTGCTGCTGCTGCTACTGGCACCTGTCGTGGTCGATAGGGTGTGAGAGGGCGAGGGGGAAGCAGTCAGTAGAGAGAGGGAGAAGCACAGACACAGCGCACTGCGCCGCCGCACAGCACCGCACCGCACTGCACTGCAATGCACCGCACAGCAGTGTTTTGAGTACAGCACAGGCTGCTGGCGTATGGCAAGGCGAGCTCTCACAGGCGAGCTATCGCAAGCCTGTCCCTGATTTGACTCAAACGAGCTTAAGGTTTCGAGTCGACGAACGTGGAAATCAACTGCAGGCATACAAAAGACCCCGGGTGAAAAGGTTAATCAAGTTCGTACATTGCACAGCTCCATGCTCATTCGGCGTGCTCTTGCGTTGCACAGTTGGCTGAAAAGGTTAATCCGCTCACTCTTGAGTTCACTGAACAGGTTTTCCATGTGGCGAGCTCTTGCATTGCGTGTGCCGCGCTCTTGCCTTACGTCTGGCGGCGTGCTCTTACATTGCGCAGCTCCAGGCTTCGTACAGTTCGCTCCAGCTCCTGTTGCCTCGCATGCAGCCTTTGAGGCGCTAAAAAATGTTCAAGGTGGTGTGTGCCGGTGTGTGCCGGTGTGCACTTACATTGCGCAGCTCGAGGCTTCGGATGGTTCGCTCCAGCTGCGCTGCCTGTTCCATCTGCCACGCGTGCGACTGCTGCAGCTCCTGCTGCCTCGCTTGCAGCTGGTCTGAACGCCGCGCCAGGCTGGCCTGTGTTGTGCACGGAACGTGACGTTTACATACCGATACATGCAGGCATGCATGCATGCACACATGTGTGTGCGTGGGTACCCACACAGTCGCACATGCATGCATGCACATGTAGGTGGGCACGCACGCGCACACACACATACTCACAAATGAGTTAGCACATGTAGAGGAGGAAATGCATGCAGAAAAGTGCACAGGGGGGAATGGTGGGTGCAAACACCATGGATACGCCAGGGAAGCAAGAATCACACACAAGAGCCAAGAGCGTGCATGGGAGAGGAGGAAAGAGAGAAGGAAAACGAAGAAGAAAATAAGAGAAGAAGGGAAGACAAAAAAAAAAGGTCTGCAGACAGGAGGCCTAGCAGGCAACGAGATGAGGGAGGAAACTACTGGGCCACGGGGATGCACCAAGGAAGTAACAAGGACGCACCAATCTTGTGTGTTGCGCAGCCACCAGTTCAGATCTGGTGCCGATATGGCGATACACAGGTGCCACGTGGCCCCCATTGCTGCCGCCCTTCCTTGCAAGAAACACAGTCAGCGCGTGCGCTGACAGGTAGAACAAGAGCTCCACCATCCTGCCACGTTTCAAGACATGAGTGGTTGATTGCACTTGGGCACTTGGGGATAGTTTGCGGTTGCACTGGCATACGTAGGCACTCTATTGGTCAATGCAATGCAATGTATGGGACGTATGGGTCTAATACCCAGAGTGTATAAGGGCCAGGGTGGGGTGACTAAGGCTGCAGCAGAACAGCATACGCGTTATGGACATGATCAGATGTCATCACTTGGTCACATGTCATCACTTGGTCACATGTCATCACTTGGTCACATGTCATCACTTACCATGAGAATACTCCATTATGATCACTTGAGAAGACAGTCAGGTGACATAGATTGACACACGAAAACCCACAATGGACAATGATTTGGTCCATAGCAAGGCATACGAGTGAGAGGAGAGGACAGGCATATCCAATACCACGGGAATCGCATGCCCTTGCTATTGCCATTGCCATCGCCATTGCCATTGCCATTGCCATTGCCATTGCCATTGCCATTGTCATTGCCATTGTCATGTCAATCATCGTCGCACCTGGGACCCGTGGCAGCAATGATGGTGGTGCTGCGCGCGCTGTGGGGAGGGACGCGGCCGTCCTTCTCGAGCTGTTTCAGGACCTCTATCACCGCCTGAACCACCAACCAATCACAGCCCGGCAAAGGCAGTTTCACAGGTTGAATCCGGGTTGGAAAAAAAAAAAAAAAAATGCAAAAAAAGCTTGATGTGAGCGTGTCTTGCAATGTCCAGTTTGGTTTCGCCTAAAGCGTGCCACGCGGTTTATTGCTGACTGAAGTGCTTGAATGGATGAAATTTTGGCGCCTCAGCTAACTGGCTCCCTGCGATGTACCTTGCGCATTTGCGTAAGATTCTTCTTGACGAGCGGCAACTCCCAATCGATTTCGCTTGCCTGAAAGCAGACGATTCAAACCGCATGACAGCGAAACAAATCAACGGCTGAGATTGGCAACTGAGAACGAACACACGGAAAAAAAAAAACACTGAGATTTGTTAGTGCGGAGCATGAGATTGCAATATTTCGTAGACGAGGAGAGGAAGACTCGAGCGTGGACGCATACATCCAGTATTTTCGTGAGAAGGAAGTGTAGGATCCCGTTGCACGCGTTAAGGTTGGTGACTTCGAACATTCCGGGAGCCAGGCGGATATTAGTAGCGACTGGGTCCTTGTGAAACCGCAATATCTCCAAGTTTTCGAAAAGCGCGTCCTCCATACAGCGCACGCTATGATTTTGATCTAGGTGCTGCCTCTCCATAGCGGCTCGACGGAGAACGCGACCGAACGAGACGTCACGCTGCAAAATGCACCAACATCCACCTGATCAGCAGCTGATAGCGCAACGGAATATCAGAAACCAGTTCACATACGAAGCAATGAAGTGCCTTGGGTCCTTTGGATTTGCCCGACGCGACACTCGGAGCTGAGTGTCCAAGAGAATCGCATTTCTTGAGGGATCTGGAGTCTGACTCGTGCTGCCATCACGCGGGATCGCCTGTAGTGGATGTTTGGCGGGACGGGACAAAGTCGCAAGGGAGAACTTGAGGCGAGGAAGAATCAAGGGGAGCTTGACGAAAGCCCATGCTCTCTGCGAAGGCCTTGGGGACGATGCGAAGAAAATAAAAGCCGTGGATTGGCTGGAGAGCTCGCGAAAATGAATGTCACTCCTCCAATATCGAGGTGTAATCAATTCAGTCTCGCCATGGCTGAAACAAGTTTACAGTGTTGAAGAAACCATGAATTAACCACTATTTATGCAGTTGCGATTATGTGGTACATTTTTTCAGAAATAGCACCGAGGTTTCAAGAAAGGGCAACATATGAGCTGGAACCCCCAAAATATGTATCTCGTACATTTGTTACTAATAAGAGTATATAAAAGATAAACAAACAAAATGTACGTCCACTTCACTATTGCAATCGCATATGCAAGTCACGCTATTGGTCAATTTTTTCTGAACTATTATATATTGCTTAGTTCTCTGATTGTTCAGTCAAGTGTTGATCACACCAAATCTCACTGTAACGGTCCACATACTTTTTACAGGCGAAGCGAACGGTCCACTACGTATATTTCATTCAGTTTTCTAAAAAACGGTAGCTTCTCCCTCGCGTCGCGAATTTGGAACTGAAGCGGTCTGGTCAAATCACCGGCCAGCCACGCCCACGCGCCCTGGCTCCATGTGTATCGTTGGGCTATGGCGATAAAACTTGGGCCGTTACTCCACATCAGGCGTCGCATGACATATGACATGGCAGGGCGGTACTGAGCGACCCTTGAAGCACCGTGCGACAGCTACATCTGTCATTGAAATCTCTCTTAGCGCGCTCAAAAGCACACACATTCCCTTTTTGTCATGAACTGAAAATTAGTCCCCACATTTGCTCATTCCATTTCAATTATCAGTAGCCATTCGAACCCAGAATTAGCTTCACATCGTCGTTGCCCATACTTCGCATAAACTAGCCAGCAACCCTCCACCAGCATTGGCTCGCGAGCTGACAATGGCCGATACCGAGCAGGGATTTTCAGCTCCTCTTCACAAATATGTCCTTAGTCCAGTCGAGGAGGAAGATCGCGCGACTCTCCGCAGCCGCTGGCTTTTATCTCTCTGTCTCTCAACTCCCGACCATCGCCTCGCCTCATCGACACCTCCTCCTCCCAATCGCTTTTCCGCTGCGACGACCACCGAGTCGGGAAGCGACACTCCCCCCGCAGGTCGGAATCGCGCGGAGAACATCGGAGACCAGTCGCCCATCTGCCCGAAGCGACTGTCGTTCTCAATGCCGGGGGAGCCGCCTTCTCCTAGAGCCCTCGACTGGGGCACCCGAATGTTCTCGTCAGCCTCGGTGGCAGACTTGTTGCCGAACCTCCTCCACCAGCGAATGCCGCAGGTTCGGTTCATGGTTGCGCTAATGGGCCTCGTCGTCACAGCGTCGTTCCTTTTCTCTGACGGAGTCGCCAGGGGAAATGCGACGCTGAGCGGATGGTGGCCGACTGATGCGACGTCGCCAGCCGTCGCACGCTTGCGAGGTGGTAACCCGGTGGACAGTCGTCGCAACGGTGGAGCTAACGGCAAGTGGGTCTCGGCTGCGCAGCGGGAGCAGCAGAGGCGGCGGCTTTGGTGGGCGGACCGGGAGGGCGAGGCGGCTGAATCGAACGCCATGGATCCAGCGGTTAGTTATTTTCAAAGCAGCCGCCTCAAATAAACATGCCGCAAGTGCGACTCGCCATCGTTTATGCAGAGATCTTCCAGCCGAAAGTGCAGTTGCATTCTACATTAGAAATTCGCTTACGTACGTGTGCCAGTGAAGCCACAGCAGAACAAGACGGAGCATTCCGTATCGTTCTCTCAGGTGAAGCATTTTTCCCGTTGAGTCCCAACGTTCGTCCCGTGTCTCGACCCTCGTGTCTCACGCGTTCTGGGTCAAGCCCGATCCGGTATGCTCATACCATGTGTGTGTTCACTGAATCCGCGCGTCTTGTTCTTCTGGTGTGGGCAGGAGCTGCGAGTGCGCGAGGAGATGGTCTCTCTGCAGTGGCTCAAGTTCCGATCGGGTCAGCTGCAGCTGCACGTGCACTCCAGTAACGAGGTGCGTGCACAACATGCCCGCGGTACAGTCTCCTCCTTTCACAAAAGAAATCTCTTGTATTTTTCTCACACAAGTGCTGGCTCTCTAGTAAGCAAACGTCTCGGACACACGTTTTCGGTGTGGCGATTCTTGCAATCTAACCGGCAGTCTGGGGCATGAATCTGCAGGTCGACGTCAGCTTCTGGGGTGACGTGTTCCGCACCGCATTCTCGGAGCTTTCTGGGCCGCACGATGCGGCGCGCAGGGCGGCGATTCGGCGGATCGCCCGGCTGTCGACTCAGGCGTACGACGTGGATCTCTCCGCCACATTCCCCGTACGCGCGCGCTACACTCCGCAACCTCCCGTTTCCCCCATATGCCGTGCTCATCTCTTCCACTTCGTTCCGGACATATCCCTGTGTTGCTCGTCAATCCCTAGTCTACTCTGGCTGTGGCTTTCTCTAGTTGCCATACACAGCCAGCTGCACCGTAGACTGCGTATCAGAGGTATTCTACCATACCTGGTTACCCCATCCCCTCCCTCGTGCCTGTCAGGTGTTTCGCCCGAAATGGAGGTGGCAGAGCAAGGCGAGCACCCAGCAGCAGCAGCAGCAGCAGGCACAGCGAGTCAAAGCTAATAAGCAGAACCCGTCGCGCGCGAGCCGCAGGCCCGGGCAGGTGGGGAAAAGGCACCAGGTGAAGGCGTCAGGGATTCAGGGCCATCCGAGGCACGACTAGTGCCTTGAGTGGTTCAGGCTCGGACTGAGATTCCGAATTGTCTGATTGCGACAGGCGCAGAAATGCGAAACTAACGGCCCTCCTCTCAGCAGCCTGTGGCTGCACTACTGACAACAAGGCGCTTCTCTCGAGGGCCTACTCTCTCTCCCTCTCCCTCTCTCTCTGCATCCCCCCCTCTCCCTCTCTCTATGCATCCCCCCCTCTCCCTGTCTCTCTCTGCATCTCCCTCCAGATCTCTCTTAGCTTAGCATTTTAGTTGGTGAGGATTGTATCATTTCGTAGGCTAGGTCCTTTCTTGACTCGAGGACCAGTTTGATTTGTGATATTTCATGCATTCTCAAGTCAGTTTTGCCATAATTTTATAAGGATCATCCACATTCACTGCCAACTCTGTTTACTGGATGGAGAGAATCCAGTAAACATGAATCACATTTGACTTCTTATTCTAGGTGTTGGAGAATCGCAATTGCATCTCACAACACCATATCCATCTAAACGTATGGGTGAAACAATTTCACCGGAGCCGTCAGTGTAACGCAATTGCAGCTGCGCGGATGAAAAGAATTCATAAATATTGCCTGCAAGCCGCTGAAATTCGACTTCTGCGCATCTTGTTGATTCAGGGCTACTTGTGACTGTGGCTCGCCTCGCACGCTGGACCGGCAATCGCGGCCGCAACTCTTCCGCGCAGTATCCGTTTCGTTTCTCAGTTTCTGCGCTAGCCCTCATTCGCTTTGTGAAAGCGAGGGGGATTTTTCCTTTACCTTTTCTCGCGTTTAGGTTATATTCGGTAACTGACGAACTCGCTGCTGCTCCAGACATTCGGTCCGTCACAAGCGAGATTTGCAGTTCTGACCGCATCAATAGGCCTGCAGTAACTAATAGGACCCGTTCCGGTTCCAGGCCCCACGTCACGTACTGCTCTCTCCTGCTGCCTCTCCTTTATCCTGTAGGGCCCATTGCAGCCTGAAAACAGCCCCCTCAGGATTAGCTATCGTAGTTGTTCTGCATGCCATACGGGTCGCGTTTACCCTAAATCGCTACAGTCACGACCTAAGTTTTCAGGTTACCTGCGGACGGGGCGTTCCGGGGTTTAAGCGGGTTCGTTTCTAGCTGATCCGTTTTAGTATATAGAGCAGATTCCGGCCATGAGAACCAAGCTGGAGGCGAAGCAGGTGGTTTACTGCGGAGGTATGTCCTTCCTGGAAACCTCCGCATATCGCATCAGCTCATCGCTGTTTTTCTTGGAATGATAACCTATAGATCCAGACTTACAGAGGTGTCGCTTCGTCTTGCTGATATTCGAACCTTCCTGCCGTTCATTTGTACGCATTCCCTCGCCCTGTGCCGTTGCACTCATGTCTCGTGTCAGCACCTCTTCTCCTCCGCCCACCTTCTCCCACGCTTCTTCCCTTCCCTCCTCCCGTTCCTTCCTTCCCACCCCACACCACCCCCCCCGCCCGCCTCTCCTTCCCCTCTCCCCTTTCCGCGCGCCTTCCGCGCGCGTGTGCGTGCGCGCGCGCCAGTGTGCGGGCTGCCTCCGGAATTCTGCGAGTTCGGGCCGGACTTCAACAAGTGCAAGCCGTGGCTGCTCGAGCACACGCCGGAGCTCTACCCCGACCTCGCGGGTGAGCTGGGGAGGAGAAGAGGGCGATACGCGGAGGCAGGGAAGTGGGGGGAGAAAAGGGGGGAGAGACGGGGGACACGGGGGAAGAGTTTGGGCCGGACTTTAACAAGTGCAAGCCGTGGCTGCTCGAGCACACGCCGGATCTCTACCCCGACCTCGCGGGTGAGTCAGGGGGCGAGACGGGGGGAGAGAAAGGGCGGGAGAGCGGGGAGGAGAAGGACGGGAGAGAGGGGGAGAGAAACCGCGGGAGAGTGGGGAAGAGAGAGGAGGGAGTGGGGCGGGAGCCAGGGGGAGTGACACTTCGAGTCACACTTTCAACAAATGCAAGCCGTGGCTGCTCAAGCACACTCCGCACCTTTGTACCTCTCTCATTTGTTCAAGTCACGGCTTGACCGCACACCTCGCGGGTGAGTCCGCGGACTGCGCCACATTTGCGTTCTTATGCACACTGCTTGTTCCCTCCTTGCCCTCCCCCCTCACTTCTGTTTCTCCAGCTGAGAAACTGAAGGAGTTGTCAACAGCCGAGGGAGGTGCCGGGGAAGCAGGAGCGGGAGCAGCGGCACCAGGTGAGTTCAACAGAGCCAGGTGATTTTAACAGAGCCAGATGATTTCAACAGAGCCAGATGGGCACACAGATCAGTGTTTATGCACATACTTGTTGCATGCATTCACTGAATCAGCATGATATGCTGGGGTAGCCTTGGGGGACGAGCTCAAGAGCTGCATACCTTTCCACACACTCTTTTCTCTTGCGTTCTATACATCCCCTCTCGTTTCCCTTCCTCGCTTGCTGAGTGCAGCTGCAGCCAAGCCAGAAGAGCCTGTTAAGAAGCTGCCTGGAGGCCGGGTCAAGAAGCAGGTATGCACAGGGGGGTGTGCGGGCGAGGGGGCGGGCTTGGCCGTGTGGGCGTGTGGGCGTGGGCTTGTGAGCTTTGGTACGTCTCAAGTGCTGCCTTGGGGGCGGGTCAAGAAGCAGGTATGCACAGCGGGGCGGGCGCGCATGGGGGTGTGCGTGTGGGCGTGGGCATGGGCGTGTGGGCGGCATGGGCGTTGGCGAGGGTGTGTGCGTTTGAGCTTTGGGACTTTGCGAAAGCTGGCTGGGGCGCGGATGAAGAAGCAGGTGTGTTGACGGGGATGTGCGTGGGTATGTGTGTTTAAAGGTGTTTGAAGGTTTTTGAAGGTGTTTGAAGGCACGATGCTGCCCCACATGCTGCTTCCCACCACCCCCCGCATTTTGTTATTTTTCACAAATCATTGATTTTTGTTTATTAAGTTATTTCTCACGGATAAGAATTTCTCACTTCTAACAAGTTTTTATTTTTATTTTTCTTTATTCTCCTCACCTCACGCATCTCTTCTACCTCTCTTCACCCCTCTCCGCCTCGTTGCACCTCCCGCTACCGCATGGCACGGCACCCCATGGCATGAGCAGGATAAGAAGGAGGTGGTGGTGGAGCGAATAGTTCGCAACAAGCGCAAGTCAGTCACAGTTATCAAGGGCCTTGAACACTTTGGTAACCCCATTACCACTTCCTTCTCCTCTCACTCTTCTCGCCCCATCCCCCTCTCCATCCTCTTCTCGCCTCTTTCTCTCAATTCTCGGCCAATGTCCCCTCTGCCGTTCTCCACCTCTCGCCCTCGCTTGCCATCCTTGTCCCCCCCTCTCCCTAAATACTTATTTCTCCCACTCCTTCCCACTGCCTCTCGCCTGCCGTCCCACTTCACTTAATCGCCTCTCCCTTTCCCCCCTCTCTTCTTTCACTTTCTCACTGCATGACCCCCCTCTCTCTCACTCCCTCGCCTTCCACTCTCTCACTTGGTCACCCCCATTCAGGTGTGAAACTGCCCGAAGCAGCCAAGAAGCTGGGGAAGAAGTTTGCCAGTGGTGCTTCTGTCGTCAAGGTGGGTTGGTTGCGGTGCGAGGAGGTGAAGCTGAATCAACTCTGAATCTAAACTCTTGTTGCCATTGGGGCCTCTTTTGTCAAGGTGAGTTGCGGTGCGAGGTGAACTTTTTTTCGTTGTGGTGCAATTAACGTCAAGGTGGGTTGGTAGCGGTGCCACAGGGCGAGGGTAGAGTGAAGGTGCTTGGTCGTTCAGGGAAAAAGGGTTTTCTTTGGTCGACGTGAAAAACGTATCGTCGAGTCGATTCGACAGCGCTGCTGAGATGTGTCAAAAAATCTGTTGAGTTGCCTCACCTCAAAAGTTGGCTTGCAACTCAACCAGAGTTCTCCCAGAGGGGGGTGGGGGAGGGGGAGGTTTGGTCATTTTTATAATTTCTTTGTGCTAAAGCGTACGGATTAGGCGCCTTAAAAGTTGGCTTGAAATTCAGTGGCGGGTTAAAAAAAGGTTACTATATGCTTGCTACCAGCAGCTTTGTTGCTACCAGCAGCTCTTTCCCATCATTGTCACCTTTATGTACCACTTTCCCTTCCTTCCCTTCCTTCCTTCCCGCCTTCCCTCCCTCCCTCCCTCCCTCCCTCCCTCCCTCCCTCCCTCCCTCCTTTTCTCCCTCCCTCCCTCCCTCCCTCCCTCCCTCCCTCCCTCCCTCCCTCCCTCCCTCCCTCCCTCCCTCCCCTCCCTCCCTCCTTCCCTCCCTCCATCCCTCCCTCTTCCCTCCCTCCCTTCCTTCCCCTCCCCCTCTCCCCCCCCACAGGGACCAACGGAGAAGGAGCAGGTGGATGTGCAGGGGGACATTCTCCTCGATATAGTCGACTTCATTACAGCCACATGGCCCGACGTGAGGCTTCCCTTTCAAGCTTCTTCTGCCATTTCATGCCTTGTTGTGTTGTGGTGACTTGTGTTGTCTTGTCCTTTCCAATCTGTTCTCTCTTCCGACTCGAACAATAAGATGACGAATCGCTGCTTGCTCACCCATGCCGTATCCTGTCCCTGAACCCCTTGCATGTCGTGGTGCCTGTCTGTCTGTTGACTTCCTATTTCTCCCGATTGCTCCGTTTACCTCTCCATCTCTCCCTCTCCCTCTTTCTATACTTTCCCTCCGCTCGTCCCCCTAGTCATAAAGGTACCTGAGGAGGCAATCTGTTTCATTGATGACGGGAATAAAGTGCCTGCATTCTAGCACGCCCTGCCCGTCTCTCTCTCCCTCTCTCTTTCACCTTCCCTCCGCCTCCCCCCCCCTCTCCCCGCCACAACCCACTTTCAGGTACCAGAGGAGGCAATCTCTTCCATCCAGGACAGGAAGAAAGTACCTGCATGCATGCATGCTAGCATGCCCATTGCCCTGTCTGATGGCTTCCTCATTTCCCCGATCGCTCCATCTGCCACTCTATCTCTCCATCCCTCGCCGTCTCCCTACCCTTTCCCTCCCCGCTTCCTCCGCCTCATACAGGTACCTGAAGAGGCAATATTCTTTTTTATAGAGGGCGGGAAGAAAGTACCCCGGCATGCTAGCAGCCTTTTGAGTAGACTCAAAAGTCACCTGAATATTCTTTTTTATAGAGGGCGGGAAGAAAGTACCCCTGCATGCTAGCAGCCTCACTCTGACACCTTCCCTCCACCTTTCCCCCCCTTTCCTCCCACCCCCCCACCACACACTTTCAGGTACCTGAGGAGGCAATATATTTCATCGAGGACGGGAAGAAAGTACCGGCATGCTAGCATGCATGCCCGTTGCCCTGCCTGCCTTTCTCCTCGTGTGTTCCTTCCTACTGGATGTGTAACTTCAGTTACCGTATGGTTGCTGAGATTCATTAAAATTACCGTACATGTGATGATACTGTACAAATCCACTGTAGCGGTACCTTACTGATCCAGGTATATTTGGTTATTAGACAAACCGATGGGCTGGCTTGGATAGCTAGCACAGCAGCGCAAACAACCCACCCCATAACCCTCCGCACTGCATGTACGTACCATAACAATTTCTTGGTGCCATGACATGCCACTCGAAAGCCCAATCGCTTGTGTCATATACCATATGGTATCAGATTGCTGAGGCAATTTGCTTCTAACTTCCAAGCTCATGCAGTAAGAGGCGAGCAACAAGCTTTGTGTAATACTGTAACAGCTTCGTATAATTACTAGACACATACCGTAATTAGACACATGGACACACCATTAAAGCTACCGTATAAGATCTGCTAGCATGCGAAAGCCGATTTACGAGAGACCAACAAAATCAGCTTCACACCAACAACTACCGTACCGTGTTACTACCTAGTACCAACCAATACGCGACAGCACGTGTCAGCAACTACTGGTTGCAGCGCGTGCATTACGGTACCTCACAAAGCTGTCCTGTCCAGCTAGCCCCCCCACTGGTGTCTCACACATGGCAGGGTGCCATGCCAGCACTAGAGGAGGCACATAGCAGAATGCCTAGTTCCACACTGCTCACCCCACACCCCTCACAGCAGCAGCATGGAGCAGAGGAGATATCAGCCCAGGTGTCAAGAACGGCACTCTGCCTCCCCTTTGTCACTTCCTGGGCATTTTCAAGGCGACTCAACGGCGCTCACAGCAGCAGCATGGAGTAGAGGATATCAGCCCAGGTGTCAGGAATCCCTGGGTTGCACCAGTGGGAGCAATCAGTGCTGGGCCCGCCCGTGTAGTTCTGCAGGTGCCCATCCGGCCGCATGAGCGACAGGTGCGTGATGTCAAGCATCCGAAACTGCACGCTGCCGCCGCTGCTGCTGCTGCTGCTGCTGCTGCTGCTGCTGCTGCTGCTGCCGCCGCTGCCTGAGGAGGGTGACGAGGGTGTGTCGGCGTCGCCATCGTCTGCTTCCTGTGGCTTGGCTGTGCTCGTTTTGCCCGAGGGGGCTTTGGACGAAGAGGAGGAGGAGGAACCCTTGCTAGAAGAACCCTTGCTGGAAGAGGAGGAGCTCTTGTTAGCAGAGGAGCTCTTGCTGCTGCTAGTCATTAAGCTCCTGGCCGTGCTATGAACCGCAGCCTCCTCCTCCTCACCGTCTCCCCCCTCAACCCCCTTAGTCGTCCCCACCCTGACAGACGATCCAGTGCTCCTTCCCTTACCCATCCTGTTCTTACTCATCGTCCGGCTTCTCCTGCTGCTGCTCTTGCTGCTACTCCTCTTGCTGCTGCTGCTGCTGCTGCTTCTGCTGCTTCTGCTTCTGGTGCTGGCAGCAGCACCGGCAGTACCAGCAGCAGCAGGAGGAGGGCTCCACGTCACGCCCTCAAACACCTTCAACTGCACATCTACCGCCTCCGAAGCATCACCATACTTCTCCGCATTCGCCAATTCCGCAGCAGTAAACGGCATTTTCGCGCCCTTGCAGTTGCGACCCGAGTCCGGCCCGCCATAAGCCTCCTCGTCATGGAAAGGCGAGAAGGAGAGCATAACGGGGATACCCTTGTAGCGGGACCGGATTATGTGGTCGCGAACCGTCGCGTGCGCGATCTCCATGGCTTTAAAGCCCGTTATCCCCGTCTGCTGCACGCCCTTTATGTAGTATTGGCGTAGACTGGACGGTGCCTGTTGGACGGGTGGCGGGAGAGGGGAGGATAGAGAGATGAAAGGACCGTTAGAGAGAGAGGGAGGGAGTGTGTGGGGAGGGCGTGAGCGAGGGGGTGAAAGATTGAAAGGGAGTGACGGGGACAGAAAGATAGAAAAGGAGATGGAAAGTGGCGGAAGGAGAAGAGAGAGAAAGAGAGTGTCGGGGCGAAAGGGGGAAGGGGGGGGTGGGGTGGGGGGGAGAAGCGCGCTCACGTTAACGAACCAGTGGCCGGCGCTGAAGATGAAGACGTCAAGGTAATTCAGGACGTCACCCCATTTATCCCGTGGCGTATCCAGGTACACCTTCCACGCGCCCGAGCTCTTGGCTGCGCCCTGAGGAGCAGAGAGGGAACAGAGAAGAGAGAAGAGAGAAGAGAGAAGAGAGAAGAGGCGAAACGAGTGAGACAGATTGGAAATGTCTCAAACGAGTCAAAGCAGAGGGAAGAAATAAGAGAGAAAGAGATGAGATGTGCAGGAAGGTGAAGTTGTACTGCGCCACGCGGTACCCTTTCACTGCTGCACGCACCCCGCACCGCCCTGGACCATCCTGTACCTAACCGCACCCCTCCGCACGTCTCTGCACCTTTTACTTAAAATGGGCTCCGCGTCGACGAGATAGACGGACGAGATGTGCAGGAAGGTGAAGTTATACTGCGCGACGCAGTACCCCTTCACCGCTTCACGTCTCCCCGCACATCCCTGCACCTTCGTGCACCTGCCTGTACCGAACCGCACCCCCCTGCACCGTTACTTACAATGGGCTCGGCGTCAACCAAGTAGACGGACGAGATGTGCAGGAAGGTGAAGTTATACTGCGCGACGCGGTACCCCTTCACGTCCGTGCCGCCGAACTCGCCCGAAAAGTCCACCGTTGGCGAATAGGAGTGCAGCGAGCAGCGAATGGCGTTGCCGAAGTTGGACGAAAACGAGTCGCCCGCTATCGCGAACACCTTGTTGCGGTACCGGGAAAGAAACGCCGCGGGGTCCAGGCTGGCGGAAGGGGCGCGGGGGAGCGGGGAAGCGGAGGGGCCGGGGGGAAGAGGAATTTGAGTTTTCAAGGAGGAATTAGACGAGGGAGAGCGGAAACAGTGGAAACGGGGTCAGCGAAAGACGGGGAACGAACGGAACAGAAGTTTCGCACTTGCGGCTATACTCATGGCACGACTAATACATCCGTTATTGTACACCGCATTCGCTACACTCCCGCACTCGTTACAGTCCCCTCTCACCGATTAACGTCGCATCCGCGAGGCTGCCAGCGCCAGTTGAGGTACCCCGTGTCCCTCCGCCCGTTCTTCTGGCAGTTCTCGTTGGAGCGAATAAAGGGGCACGTTCTACCCGAGTACAGGGCCTTGTTCGGGGATATCACCCACCTGTGACGACACACACAGACACACACACACAGAGGCAGAGGGAATTTTGAGGCGCCTCAAAAGAAGTTCTTCTGGCAGTTCTCGTTGGAGCGAATAAAGGGGCACGTTCTACCCGAGTACAGGGCCTTGTTGGGGAATATCACCCACCTGAGACGGCACACAGGCAGGGGCACGGGGGAGAAGCGACAAAGGGAGGAGAGCGAGTACTGAGGTGGCACGTCTAAAAGCACTGTTGGTTGCTCATAGTTAACGTGTTCGATCCGTCTCGCCGTGGAGCTGTGAATCCGTCAGGCCGTCAAACAGCAGAGCGCTGCGACCTCAGCGTGGATTACGTCGCAGCATGTGCTTTCTGATGGGAAAACAGAGAGGAAAACAGAGAGGATAAAAGAGAGGAAAAAACCAGCAGGATCATGTAACTATGGTAAGGAGCGTTTACCACATTCAAACCGCACGCACCTTCCCTCCCCGAAGTCGCAGGTCGACTCGTCCTCCACGCTTTGCGCGCCCGTTTTCCCCTTGGCCTTGATAACCTTTCCGCCGCCGCCGCCGCCGCCGCCGCTGCTGCTGCTGCTGCTGCCGCTCTTTGTCGACGCCGTCTTGCCTTCCTTCGCCTTCGTCGCCTTGGTCTCCGTCCCCTTGTCCTTGCTCTTCGCGTCGGTGCTGGTCTGGCTGCTTTTTCCGCTGCTGCTGCCGCTCTTGCCACTGGTGCTGCTCTTGCCACTGCTGCTGCTCTTGCTACTGGCCTTGCTGCCACTAGCACTCTTACTACTGCTCGCGTAGCCCGCCTTACTGCTCGTCTTGCTGCTCGTTCGCTTGGCTTCACCCACCGTCACGGCATCGCTCAAATCCGTGCTCAGCGTACCGCTGAGAGCGGCGCGCTTCCCCCTCTTACCCGCCTTTACCTTCCTCCCACTGCCGTGTCTCTTGGTCCTCCTCCGACCACCAACGCCCTTGCTCTCGCTCTTGCTTTCGGCCTTCTTCTCGGCCTTGCTTGCATCCGATGATTCAATCGACGGTTCGCCGGGATTGTTCTCGCCGTTGCAATCGCTGCCTTTGAGTACATCGTCGGAACTAGTAGCAGCCACAGTAGAGTCATTCAGATTGGAACTTCTAGCAAATTGTGGTAGTCTTTCCAGGCCCGATTCGGGCACGGAGTCTTGTGCGCGCGCTTGATGGCGCTCGTTCGATAGGAGAGCAATCCCCGCCGTGAGTAGCAGGAGCACGCGGAGCAGCGAGAAGCCCCCCATGATTCCCGATGCGGGAGAAGCGTCGAGGGGTGTAGCGGATTGTAGAGGAGTTAAGAGAAATGTGGGCCTAGAAACGTGGGAGGAATCGCTTCACCGTCGCACGCGCCAACGGATGGTTAACTGAGGCCTGCTGCTCTGAAGCGCGGTTTTAAAGGATCGTTGCGCGAGCTCACGAGCCGTAAGCAACGCGCTCAAAGTCTCCCTGCTGGCAAATCCTCGGCGTTGGTAGAAAGGCTAGCCGATAACACGGAGATAAGACGAAGGCTAGGTACTTGCCATGATGTAACGATGTAATATGCTGGTCCAAAATAAAGCCGATTGTTTTGGGTGCTAGTCATTCGAGCACAAATGCAGGGACTTGGTCGACATGTGGTCCAGGCGGTCCGTTGCCCCTCCACTTGAATTTGTCGGTTGAAGGCGGTTCGATAAATTCGAGTTGACAAGGTGCCACCACAGGGGCCAAAGGGCAGGAGGTGCTGCTGGGGTGCGGTGGGGGGAATTTGGAAAATTGGTCGGCGTTGAAATGGGTAGGTTTAATGGTGGGCGGTGGCTTGGAGAGGAACGAGAATGGGGGAAACGAGAAGGGCAGGGTGCACTGAAATCGCAGACGAGGTTGCAGTCGATCGCGACTGCGGACCATATTTCTACCACTGGCGTCGCGCATTTGAATTTCGCGGGGGACTCACCGCGCCACAACGGTCACCACCTATAGGTTGCGTACTGCCCCAAATGCAGCTCGCCAGGTGATTTTGATTGGGGGACAGGAGACGCACCGCAATGTAAATGTACAGTGCGCTAATTCGAATGGACGGAAGACTAGGTACGCATACACTACACCAGTAACATATATTGTTATGCTGAACGACAGTCTATGCACATCACAGATGTGAATGTCACCACTACCCCAATATTCACAAATGAATGATCACCAACACTTCCAGCTCCGCCCAGTCACTTATGATCGACGGATGCTCACAATTCTAATGTGTACCAAGCGATGATGCTCGTAGGCTTAGATTACAGCACAAATGAATGCTAGGCAAACTGGGCTCATACAAACTTGACCATGCCTCGGCCCTGAACACTAACTTTCTCCGCACGCAGGTTCTTGTTCTTGCTCTGCCTCAGCTTCTGGAGCTTCTTGGTCACCTGTGCCACAGCACCACCAGCAAGCAGAATAAATAGAATCAATACCAGTGAGAACATATCCCCATGCTAACAACTCCCTTGGCCTCCCTCCTCTACCCTCCCTTTTCCCCTCCCCTCCCCTTCCCACTCACGTTTCGGTATTTAACATCGTGATGCCCGAGCATCGAAACCACGCAAAGCACGCACCTGCCTTCCCATTCCCCTAGCCACGATCTGATTTCCAACCTCCCATCCCCACCTCCAACCCCATTCCCACTCCTACTGCACCTTACCCCATTCCAACCCACTCCACCGCACCACACCCCAGGGCACCCACGCTCTGGTGTCTGGCGTCCTTGTGGCCGTGCCGTGCCAGCATCTACTCGATGACCTTGGACTGCCACTCCTCAACAACCGTCCCTGGTGTCTGGCATCCTCGTCCCCCCCCACATTAAGACGCTTTGACGCACGCCCCTTCCTTCCCATTCCACCCTCCCACCTCCGTTCCCACTACTACCGCACTCCACCCCACCCCACCCCACCCCACCCCACCCCACCCCACCCCACCCCACCGTATTCCACTACCAATCCCAGTCCCATTCCCACTCCAATCCCAATTTCACTCCCCACCCCACGGCACTCACGCTCTGGTGTCTGGCGTCCTTGTGGCCGCGCCCGTGCCAGCATCTGCATCTCCTCGGTGACCTTGGACTCGGAGTGGTGGCACTCAGCAGTCCATCACCCCATTCCCATCTCCCCCCATTCCCACTCCCACCCCACCCCACCGTACTGCACCGCACCCCACGGCACTCACGCTCTGGTGTCTGGCGTCCTTGTGGCCGCGCCCGTGCCAGCATCTGCATCTCCTCGGTGACCTTGGACTCGGAGTGGTGGCACTCAGCAGTCCATCACCCCATTCCCATCTCCCCCCATTCCCACTCCCACCCCACCCTACCGTACTGCACCGCACCCCACGGCACTCACGCTCTGGTGTCTGGCGTCCTTTTGGCCGCGCCGAGCCAGCATCTCCTCGGTGACCTTGGACTCGGGGCGCACTCGGAAGTCCATGGCCATGGGCTGTGGCACGCGCGTCATCACCCGCTTCTTCCCCGGCCCCTCCTCCGCCTCCCCCCTCGCCTCCCTGCGTCACCCAGAAGTCAACAGGTCAGACGGAGAGTCAAAGGAGAAGTGTGGGAGTGAGCGAGAGATAGGGCAAGGCCGAAGGAGCGAGTGTGTGAGTGAGTGAGAGGAGGGAGGGAGGGAGGGAGGGAGGGAGGGAGGGGGGGAGGGAGGGAGGGAGGGAGGGAGGGAGGGAGGGAGGATGAGGAGGGGAGAAGGGAGGGGACTCAGCCGGCACAACACAGCGGCAAGCAGCCAGAACACAGCTGGAACACAGCTGGAACACATCTGGAACACAGCACACCTGAAGCAGACACAAAGGAGCCATAAAAGCTCCCATCCCAACTCAACCCAAAGCTCACCCAACGCAGACCCAAAGCCCACCCAGTGCTGACTCTCAAGTGACCCATCGTAACTCACCCGGCGTTGTCTAGATCTAGGTCGTCAGGCCGCGAGTGCGACGACACATGCGCTGACGCATCTTCCCTGCATGCCATAAACACAGGGGGAGAGGGCAAAGGGTGTTGGTTGGCTTGGAAGAAATTGACAAAGAACAAGAGTTTTTTTAAATCTAAATCATCAGGCCGCGATTACGCCGATACATGAGCAGCGCGCACATGAGCGGGTGGGGGAAGTTGCGCGCACATGAGCGGGTGGGGGAAGTTGCGCGCACATGAGCTCACTCTCAGCACACGAGCTTGCGCAGTCGGTTTGCAAGCCTCACACAATCGGCTGAGCTGCTCAGTGCCAACTCGCAACGAACATTCTCTCGAGTAATTAGAAAACGCCCACAACAAACTAACACAATTCAATTGGAGGCACATATTACCAAGAGTTGCTGCTTCTTGTCGTACTAACCTCTGTGAAGGTGGAGGGCGTGTGGGTCGGTCATAGTCGTCCCTCAAGTCACGGTAGTGTGTGCTCTTCTCAAATATGGGCCGCGACTGCAGGGGGAAGAGAAGGGAAGGGGGCGATGGGGAGGAAGGAGGGGGAGGGGAGGGAGGAGGGGGAAGGGGGAAGGAAGAGGGGGGGGGAATGGGGTGGGGAAGAGAGGAGTGGGCAAGAGAAATTGTTTAATCACGTAAGATGCCATGCTCCTCCGTTAAAGCTCAAGGCCCAAATTGCGCAAGATTACTAATCTTGACCTGCGCGGCCCGCAATTTGGGCCTTGAGCTTTAAGCACGTTCGTGCATGCTCTATAAAAAAAAGGACGCGAATGAAAGGGGGGGAGGGAGGGAGCAGAAGAAGTGGAGAGCAAAGAAGTGAAAGCAGGTGGACTCAAAAACCAGCAGCTAAAGGCCCTCATTCGGCTCAGCTCACAACACGACATGTGCTCAGCTCACAACAGTGTGTGCTCTTCTTCTTTCTCACCCACAACCCCCCCAACTGCTAAGGCAACCCTGCACACTCCCAAAAAGCCCTCCTTCCCCTTTTTTCTGACCCCCCATCCTCCCCTTCCTCCTTCTCCCCCCTTCCCTGCAGCAAGGTGGCAACACCCCCCTTTGCAAGGCGGCAACGCACCCACATGTCGACCAGGTCCCTCGCTAGCTTCCTGTTTTCCCCTTGTCCCCTCTTTGCCCCCCATCCCGCAACCTTTTCTGTTTCCCCCATGGTCCATTGACCCCCTTTGCAAGCAGGCAACGCACCCCCTTTTCTGTTTCCCCCATGGTCCCTTGCTAGCTTCCTGTTCTGCGTTGACCCTCCTTGACCCACCTTGACCCCCCTTGTGCCCACTTGTGCCCCCCCCTTGTGCCCTCCCTTGTCCCACCCCTTGTGTCCCCCTTAATACCCCCCCTGCCCCCTTGCAGCAAGGCAGCAACGCACCCACATGTCGACCAGATCCCTCGCAAGCTTCCTGTTCTGCACCGTCTCTTCTGGTGCCCCCCTTTGTCCCCACCCTACACCCCCCTCCCCCCCCCCATTGACTCTATTCGCAAGGCAGCAACGCACCCACATGTCGACCAGGTCCCTCGCGAGCTTTCTGTTCTGCACCGTCTCTTCTGGCAGCTTGGACAGAAACATCACCACCTGGACGGGGGGTGAGAGGGAGGGGAGGTAAGGAGTGGCGGAGAAAGGTGGGGAGAGATTTGGAAAAGCTTTTCAAGGCACATCAGTGAGATTTCTGTTCTGCACCGTCTCCTCTGGAAGCTTGGACAGAAACATCACCACCTGGACGGGGGGTGAGAGGGGCGAGGGGAGTGAGAAGGAGTGAATGGTGAGGGGGTTGAGGGGGTTTGAAGGGGGTGATAAGGGAGAGAAGGGTGAGGTGGGTCACCGGAGAAAGAGTGAGAAATTGTCGACCAGGTCCCTCGCAAGGAGGGCGGTTGGATCAGAACGAGAGCCGAGAGACAGAACCGAGGTCCTCACACCCCACACACACTCACTCCCCTCACCCAGACCAACCCACTTTCATTGAAGAAAGCGCAGGACCGACCAGCCGTGAACCGGATCAACCGGACCGCCCGGACGGGGAACCGGATCATCCGGGTCATCTGGGTGGGGAACCGGATCGACCGGGTCCAAGGTGGGGAGGCGGACCATCCGGGTGGGGTACCGGGTCGGGAACCGGACCGATCAGACCATCCGGTTGGGGAACCGGATCGTCCGGGCCATCCGGGTGGGGAACCGGACCAACCGGACCAACCGGGTGCGGTACCGGGTGGGGAACCGGACCAACCGGACCAACTGGGTGCGGTACCGGGTGGGGAACCGGACCAACCGGGTAGTGATCCGGACGGGGAACCGGATCATCCGGGTCATCCGGGTGGGGTTGCCGAATCGACCGGGTGGGGAGTCGGACCGACCGGGTGCACAGAGACAATCTACAACTTTGCACCCTCCCAGAAGGTGCACAGAGGGTGCACAGAGGGTGCACATAAAGACACTCTACGCATAAAGACTTCTTCCCCACACCCACCCTCCCACCCAACTCCCACCTCACGCCTCTCCCTCACACTCACCCGGCCCAACCCGCTCTCCTTGAGCTGTCTCCGCCTTTCCGGGCTGCCTCCCACGTCTATTGGTAACTGCGGATAGAAGGACGGGGGGGCGAAAGGAGGGAGGCAAGGGCGGAGATGCAACAACAGAGGATGGGTGAAAGGGGGAAGAGCTCTCCTTGAGCTGTCTCCTCCTTTCCGGGCTGCCTCCCACGTCTATTGGTAACTGCGGCTGGAAGGAGTGGGGGCGAGAGGCATGGGGAGGGAGGGAGGGAGGGAGAGAAGGGAACAACGATAGGGGAGGCCGCAGGGAACATGGAGAACGGCAGGCAGAGGGGCATTAGAGTGGAAACCTATTGGTAGCTGGAGGGACAGAGAGAAGGATCAGGGGCAGGTATGGCAGCGGGCCAGCGGCTCCAGCCACCAACTCTCCTCCCCCTCCACACACACACCCCATTCACCTTATCCCCGTTACTTTCTTCCCACCCTCTCCCCCTGTCCGCCCCCACTTCCCTCTGCTTTTCCCCTGCTCCGCCCTCCATCCCCACCTCACCCCAGTCCATTTCCCCTTCTCCCCTACCATACCCCCCCCCCCAAGTGTACCTCTTTAACGAGTTCGAGGATGCTGGTGAGGATCTTGATGTTGGGCAGCGACAGGTCAGGCAGCGGTTCCAGCCAACAACTCACTCCCTACATACACCCCAGTAACCTTATCCCCTCTTCCTTCTTCCCACCTTCCCCCCAACCCCTCTCCCCGCTTTTTCCCCGTCCCTCTTCCCCTCCTTTCCCCCCCTTCCCATTCCGTTCCCCCCCTCCCCAACCATAACACCCCCCCCCCTCTCCCCCCCTCCACTTTAACGCACCTCTTTAACGAGTTCGAGGATGCTGGTGCGGATCTTGATGTTGGGCAGCAACAAGTCCGACAGCGGCTCCAGCCAGCAACTCTCCCCCTCCACACGCCCTTTTCAACCCCCCCCCCCAACTGTAACGCACCTCTTTAACGAGTTCGAGGATGCTGGTGCGGATCTTGATGTTGGGCAGCGACAGGTCAGGCAGCGGCTCCAGCCAGTTCTTGAGGTACGAGAACACGCCGCGGTCTAGAAACTCGCGCTGTAGGTGCTTCCTGAGGTGAGGTGGGACGGCGGTGGGACGGCGGTGGGACGGTGGTGGGAAGGGGTGGGAAAGGGGTGGGGAAGGGGTGGGGAAGGGGTGGGAAAGGGTGGGAAAGGGGGAAAAGGACGAACGAGAGGAAAAGCTCAGGCAGCGGCTCCAGCCAGTTCTTGAAGTACGAGAACACTCCGCGATTTAGAAACTCGCGCTGTAGGTGCTTCCTGAGGTGAGGTAGGAGGCGCAGAGGGGAAAGGGAGTGCAGGGGAGTGGTAGGGGGTGCAATGGGGAGTGGGAGGAAGGCAGGAGTGGGGGAAGCGTGAGAGCAATCTAGAACGGCGTGAGGACGGCTCCAGCCAGTTCTTGAGGTACGACAACACGCCGCGGTCTAAAAACTCGCGCTGTAGGTGCTTCCTGGGGAAGGGTGGCAAAGCAAGGGGGCAATTGGGGGGGAAAGAAAGGAGAGAGGGGTACAGAGGGGGAGAGATGGAGGGGACGGGCAGGGAGAGGGGAGGGGAGGAAGGGAGAAACGGAGGGAGGGAAGCGGAAGCGTGGGAAGCGTGAGAGCAAACAACAAAAACCGCACACTGCTTCTGCTGCTGCTGCTGCGTCCTTCCTCCCTTCCATTTACCCGTTCTTCCTCTCTCCTCCGCCCTCATCTCCCCCCCAAAGAACCCCCACAGCACCCTCACTTGCGTCACGTCCCGAGGTGACTTTTGAGTCGACTCAAAAGTCACCTCGTTTTGAGTCGACTCAAAAGTCTCCTCCCTTCCATTTCCCCGCTCTTCCTCTCTCCTCCGCCCTCATCTCCCCCCCAAAGAACCCCCACAGCACCCTCACTTTGAGCAACCACCGTCACGTCCCCCGCGCGGCGTCCTCCGCGGCCTGTCCGCCCACAAACAGCGCCTTCTCGATCAGGAAACAGCCTGCCCCCTCCCCACCCACTGCCCGCCCTTCCCATCCCCTCTTCCCCTTCCCCCAAACCCCCAGAACCCCCCAAGCCCGCCCAGAACCCCCCAGAACCCCCCCGACCCCCCCAGAACCCGCCCAGACCCCCCTTCTCCCCCGAATTCCTCACTTCCTGAGCGTGTTTAGCATCTCGGGCAGCATGCGCAGCTTGTTGATGGCGGGGCGGTGCTGGCGGTTGGCGGTTGCGTCGTCCTCGGCGGCCTTGAGCATCTTGGCGTGGAACTCCTCCACAAACAGCGCCTTCTCGCCGTCGCTCATCTCGTTGCGCCGCTTCTTCCCTCCCTTGAACAGCCGCCCCACCTCGTCCTCCTCCTCCGCCTGCAAGGAAAGGGGCGAGTGTGAGTGATGCAGGACGGATTGAAAAAAGGAAGACGGATTAAGCGAATGGAACGTGCTTGAACAGCCGCCCCACCTCGTCCTCCTCCTCCGCCTGCCCAGAGAATGGGGCGAGAACGGGGAGAAAAGGGGGAGGGGGGTGGAGGCGGGGTGGAGGGGGAGAAGAATTACGCGAATGCAAGGCTTTGGAACAGCCGCCCCACCTCGTCGTCCTCCTCCGCCTGCAAGGAAAGGGGAGAGGAAACAGGGAACGGGAGTGTGGTGTGATGCAGGAAACAGGGGGGGAAGGGAGTTGGGGAAAAGGGGAATGGATAAGGGGAAGAAGGAAGGTTCGGTTGAACCAGCCGCCCCACTTTGTCTATCCTCCTCCGGCTTCCACGCACAGGGAGTGTGATGTGATGCAGGAAGGAAAAAGAGAGAGAAGGCGATACCTTTGATTCTATTCTACACACGCATCTTTTCCCCACCTTCCCTTCCCACACACTTAGCAGCGCCCCGCCTTCCCTTCCGACCACCCTCCCTTCCCACCCTTCCCTCAAATTCCCCCTGCATTCCCCCTTGAACCTCCACCGATTCCCAACCACTCTCTTCCCTACATATCCCCCAACCTCAATCCATCCCTCCCCCCCCCTTCCCCCCCCACCCTCCCATCTCCCCCCAAATCCCCCGAAACACCCAGAGTCCCCCCAGAAATCCCCCCCCGTCGCACCTGCGGCGCGTGCGAGATGCGCTGGTCGTCGTACTCGTCGTACCCCATCGCATGCCTGTCGTCCGGATACACGCCTGCGTCGTCGATAAACGCGTCGTCCTCGCCCGTGCGCGCGCCCTCCACGTCCTCCTGATGCCGCGCGCGGGGGGGAGGGGGGGGGGGGAGGGGGAGCGGGAGTCGCGGGAGGGCGGAGCGGAGGGAAGCGGGGTTGGCGAAAATTGACGAGGAATTGGCGAGGGGGCGGGGGATTGGGGGAAAATTGTAGGCCCGATGAAGACAGACGGAGCAATTGGAGCCGGAGAAGGGATGCAAATGGGTGGTTAACGGTGGGGAGACGGGGGGGCAGAGAGGAGTGGAGGGGAAGAGGGGGGGAAGGGGGGGTGGGGGGGGGGGGAGGGAAGAGGGGGAGGTCGCAAAGAGAAATAAGAAGGGTGGGGGAGAGAGCAAAGGAGGGAGCGGGAGAAACGACGAAGAAAGCGACAGCAAAGAGAAAAGGAGGCATGATGTGAGGGAACGAGAGACGAGGGGGAGTAGTGACGGCATGGAAGAGAGAACGAATCTCCCGCCCTGCCCGCTTCTCACAAGCTTTCCTCTCCTCAATCCTCCCCCTTCCTCACCTCGGAATTCGCCGGCCCTTGGTCCCACGTCTCTCTCCCGCCTTCCTCATACCCTCCCCCGCCTCCGCCGCCGCCCCACTCTTCACCCCCTCGTGGCCTCTTCACCTTTGTCAGCCTCCCCCCCGATTTCCGCCCCTCCTTACCCTTCTTCCGCTTCCCCCCTTTCCCCCTATCCCTCCGGTCCCACGGGTCCGCTCCCCCCACTCCTTCTCCGCCCTCGTCCTCTTCCCACCGCTCCTCCTCGTCTTCCCTCCCCCCGCCGCCGCCTTTTTTCACGAGCCGCCTGCCGCCGCGCTCGTCGGGCTCCTCGTCCTCAAAGAGCCGCGCATCGTAGTACGCGTCGTCGTCGTTATCGTTACCGTTACCGTGATCGTTGTCGTTACCTCCGCCTCCTGCGTCCGCAGCGCCTTGCGGGTCCGCGTCGCCATAGTCGTCAAAGTCTACTAAGTTTGGGTCGACGCGGCCGTCCTCGCCATGTTGGGGGCTGACGAAAAAACGAAACGGTCAGAATATAAGAATCACACGGGAATTGAACATGTCAATCGGCAAAACGTTGACAGGTTAGGGGTGCATACGAATAGTCGAAGCAAAGGGAGAGGACGGGAAGGAAAAGGGGCGGGGGGGTGGGAGGGGGGAGGCTGGGGGGAGGAGGGGGGGACGGGAGAGCGGGCGAGGAACGGGGAAATAAAGTTGAGGTAGACGAGTCAACTGAACACGAGTACGGCGAACGAAGGGAGCTTACAGTCGAAGCAAAAAAACGCAGACCTTTCAACGAAACAGAAATCAACAGACCAAGATCCGCGGGAGAGGCAAAAGAACATTAAGAATCACACAGATAACTTGTCGTGGAGTGCGATGCGCACATACCTCGCCATGGGAGTTGACAGACCGAGTATCGTTGGCTGAAGGTTGAGCGGCTCTAACTAACCCTAACTCAGCTGGAAGTTTTCGCGATTAGGGTTTGCTAAATGGAATGCTTCGATATTGAATGATGAATGTGACGAAGGAACAGAGGGATGGAGCTACGTATGGTGGGGATGGTTTGGGAGGTTTGTGAAAGGAACAGAGGTATGGAGTTACGTATGGTGGTTTGGGTTTGGATGCATGTCGGATGGATGGATGGATGGATGATGGATGGGTGGATGGAGAGAAACAAAGTTCTATCCTCCATACAGGCTCTTTCGCCAAACTGTTGTGGAAAACGTCAAAGGGAAGCGAATATTTACAATGTCCTTGTAGTGTGTCCAATTTGATTGTTTCTGCATGGTTTTTACTTGTTGCCCGTACGACATGTAACTCCCGACGATGTGTGATGTACGTGTACCACAGTCCAGAAGTCACAAGGTATAAACAAGTTCTGCGTCACCTAAAATTAAGGTGGCATTTAATTCGAAAGAAAAAGCGCGCGAATGGCAGTCGAACACTGCCAGGTAATGCTTCACATTAAATGCCAAATTTGTCCATCTCGAACGTCCTTCCCATGGACAAAAATCGCCATCACTTCCGCCTGATCGGCTGGCCGACCTGTGTGTCCAGCGCAGCAAACTTCGGGATGAGGTGAGTCGCACGTGGCACAAAACACTTTTCATCTGCGGCGAGGATCCACCAACCATTGCCACGTATCCCTATCCTAGTGGCGGTTCATCTGGAGCCTCGGGCGAACCGCCGCAGTCACTTCACTTCCATTTTCTCCGTGGAAGTCAGCCAAAGTTTGCCGCACCGCCCTCAGATTCGCCGTATGTGCGCTGGTTTACCCCTCCCCGCTGGCAAAATGCTGTCACTGCTTCGTTTGTCTGCATTTCTCCGCCGTAGATCAGAGGTGTCTTGAACGAGGACGGACGGAAACGATGGTGTTCTGGGAAAAAACGCTGTTTGCGGCTTGTCTGACCCGCTCCATGTGCTGATTTCTGAGCGATATTTTGGCGTTTCTCGTTAACTGTATATTCACAGCTTGTTTCAGGTGTGTTCGAAACCGTTCGGGGTACGGTCAATGGAAAACCTTTAGGAAAGGCACTCCGATCGTGTACACTGAAATTCCCACGCTCATTGCAGGGGGGAACTTGAGCCCTCAGCGGATCTAGTCCTAAAACCCCACGATCTCTGTGCGCGCCCGCACACTCGGGAACTGTCAGTCAGCCAGTAGGTGGTGCTCTCGAGCTCGTTTGTTCGCCGCGCCACCGAGGGACGGCTTTCGTATTTCCCACGGCCATTCCACGCATCAGGGCCACCTCGTGCGTGCGCTGGCGCAACGGGTTCCACAACCAGTTTTCCTCGTGTGCACGACGGAGGTGCGCGTTGTGCTCTTTTGTGTATGAAGAGGCAATGTGTGTGCTGGAGTGAGGTCAGGTGGTAGTCAGCTCAACCAACCTTGTACAAGCACCGAGCGCTGTTAGCTTCTCGTTCATTCTCGTTGCTCACTTTCCTTTCATCCCACAACCCACTGCTTATGACCAGCGTTTTTTCCTCAGTCAGCCCGTCCAGCCTTCTTTCCTCCTTCCCATCCTGGCTGAATTGTCTCGCTCACGCGTCTCCTCCGTCCTGGTCTATCAATTCTAGTCGCTTCACCCTGCCGCACTTCTAGTTAGCACCGCACCGCCTGTCAGCAAAGCTCCGCGCCAATTACCATCCCCGCAGTGTCAACCCTCCCGCACTTCACGGCCCCATCGACGCTAGCGACTTACGGAGAAAAGAGCACCGAAAGCTGTCTACCTCTCCGCTTTCGGAACCACGCTGACCTTCTCGCGCGAGTCCTTAGGCAGCGTCATTTCTCGAGGCATCAAATCTCTCGGCATCAGTTTTCGCGGTCTAGTATTAGCCCGCACGAGCCCAGCACGTCTCAGTCCTCCCATCCCCGCTCTTCGCGCTTCGAGTTCACTTACATCCACCTCCGCCCATGGGTTCTGAAAACGGCCAGAGCGGCCAATTCCGCACGCCGCACCTCCCGCCTTCTTCCCTAAGCGCTTCGTCTAGTACATCCTCTTCTGTTTCTGCTGCTGCGGCTCCTCCTGCTTCCTCCGCCGCAAACACCGCGACCGCCAGCAGCGGCGTCTGGGGGGCGGACATGCATCCGTCCGCGGGGGAGTTTCTCCCCCAGTCGTTCTCCTCGCAGCACCCCGCGCTTCCGGTGGCGCCCTTCCCCGCGCCGCTCGCCGCGCGGATGTTCCCCGCGCAGTCCATCTACCGCCCGGACTTCACGCAGTCGGACCGCTACTACCCCGCCGCTGCGAGCCGCTGGGGCGGCGGCGCGTTTGCGTCCGGCGACGATTACTACGACGGAATCGCGGAGGAGAACGAAGGCGAATGTGAGCATGCTATCCGGTGACCTTTCCGCTGCGTCTCGTCTCGTCTCGTCGCGTCGGCGTCGTCGCGTCGCGCCTCCTTTGGTCTCGTCTCGTCACCTCGCATTGTCGATGTCCGTCGGTCACCCAACCCGACATTCCATGACGTGTCGCTATTGTTCTCGTTGCGTGCCGCCACGTGTCGTCACGTGTGGTTACAGGGGCGGAAGACGCGCTAGACACGTACATCGACAGCCTGGGTAACCGCTCTGTCTTCCCCACTCTCTCTCTCTCTCTCTCCCTCACTCTTTCTCTCTCCCTTTCGCCCTCTCGCTCTCTGCCTCACCGTTTACCTGTGCAGGGGCGGAAGACGCGCTAGACACGTACATCGACAGCCTGGACACCCGCGACGCCGCCGGGCTCGGTCCCGGGTATTACTACGACGGGCCTGTCGGCGGTGCTGCTTGTAACGAGGACTTGGAGCTCGAACCCCCTGCTCCTGCGGCGACGTTCAACTGGACCCGTGAGTCTGAGACCCGTCTGAGTCTCCTGCCGCCGTTCGATTCCCGCCGCCACTGCTCACTTGCTGGTTCTTTCCACTACTTCCCTTCGGTCTCCTGGTCCCTTCGTCCCTGCGTCCTCCCGTCCGTGTGAGGCCATTTCTCATTTTCCTCTCCGCCGCTCCGTCGTTCTTGATTTTCCACTCGAGCAGAGATCGAGGAGTCGTGTCAGCGCATGGAGGAGCAGCACATGCGCATCATGGAAGTCGATCTGACGTGCATCGGCGACGGCAATGGCGGCGAGCAGGTGCTCTACGAGTTCACCTTCGAGGAAACCCCTGCCGATGCTGCTCCTGCTGCTGATTCAGCCGCTGATGGTGCTGCCAACGGTGCTGCTGCTCCTCCTGCTGCTGCGGCGGTGGCGGTTGCTGCTGCTGGTGCTGTGAGCGCAACAGCAGCAGGAGGGGAGGAGCAGCGGAGTGGGGGAGGAGACGAGCTGCCTTGGTACTTCGGAAACGAGGGTGGGAAGGGCGCCAGCGCTAGTATCGGGAACAGCAGCGGCACCAGCGGCAACAGCAGCGGAAGCGCCAGCATCAGCACCAGCAACAGCAACAGCAGCAGGAGTGGCAGCGATGGACTCAGCACAGGACAGCTAAGCATGGAGGGAGTGAGGGGGGCTGCTGATGCTGCAGGCGGCTCTGCCTCCGGTTCACCCAAGACTGTCCTGCCAGTGCCGCTGCCACTGCCAGCGCCGAGCAGAGACTCGGTGTTTTCCGCGCATGGTCGTAGGGGTGGCAGTAAGAGCACTGGCGGCGGTGGTGCTAGCAGCAGCACGATGCTGAGTGGCCTGTTCCGTAATATCAAGCGCCGCTGCTCTGCTGCTCTCTTCTCCCCGTCGTCGTCCTTCTCGTCCTCCTCCACCTCCTCAGTGGCAGCAGCAGCAGCTGCTGCTTCTGCTGGTGTCACTCACGCTGCTGGCAGCAATGCTACCGCTGCACCTCATGCAGCCAGCAGGTTGAGCAGTGAGGCCAAGACAGCTCAGGGCAGCATCAAGCAGAGAGTGTTTGGATCGGCTACGGGCAGGTGGAGGCGCAGCAGCAAGGGACCCAGGCTCCAGCGCTGCAACAGCCTCACGTAACCGCAATGCCTGTCATGTCTTACTAACAGCCTGCTATGCCTCCGATCTGCAGTGTTTACGTCAGCTGGCTTCTGTCTCTCCCCTTCAGTTGCCCTGCGGAGCTCCTTCTCGTGCTTTCACCACCACCCCCCAGCAGTATTTACTCTGCAACTGATATGTTTTCCCAGGGCGACCTTCTTGGTGAAACCCTTCAGGGTGTAACGCCTTCCTCAACTGGCTTACACTTGTTTCGCTGCTCCTTGCGCATGCGAGCCCTGATTTATTCAAGCTCTAGTGGAGCTTGAGGTCTGGAAGAAGATGCCTGAGCACCTCACCACTTTTCTGGTGCTGACAGCTGGCTGATCCTGTACTGCTCTACCAGGGCCAGGCCATGGTGCCTGCATCAGGTTTTCAAGTGTGGCCAGCTTCAAGGGGTTGGCCTTTTTCCCCAACCATGCGACTGTTGTGCAGGGTAGAACTGAATTGGTTCTATTCTTGCGCTGACTGCATGGTTGGGTTTATTGCTTCTAGCAGATTTCTGATTAGTTGGTGATGAATTTACAAATTCGTGTACCAGAATTGATTTATGCTGTTTTTTTTTTGTGTCAATTGAAACGGCAGTTTTGGCTCACCGTATGCTCTGGTGGATCTCTGAGCCACCTCATCGGGAGAAAGACAGGGACCACCATAACGGGACACTAGGCCCATAAGATGTTAACAAACGTCGATGATTCGTGAAGACCGATCAACCGTCCGATTGTTAGACCCAAAAATGTGCAACCACCACGCTCCGCTGCTGTCTTGGCGCTTCGCATGATCATTTCGTGCCTTGGCCGCATGATTTCGGAACTTCCCCTCCCCAAAAATATAGCGAGCCACGTTTCCATCCCAAAACCCCCCCAACCAAACACCCCCGCCGCCAACCTCCCATCAAGCCACGAATCGCGTCAAACCTGCTCGTCGCCCCTGGAGGACAGCTCTGTGCCGAACCAAGTATAGGCCAGTGAGAAGGTTTTCCTGCCCTCAATGCCCTCAACTTGAACATCATCCCTCTATTTTCTCTGTGACCATAAATTCGTTTTGCCTGGAAACTGTCCAGTCAGCTTCAAGCCAGTAATGTTCCGTCGACATATTTTGATAAATGTGGTACATGGAACTTGTTTTTTGCGCTGAACAACCAGACCACATTCACCCTTGAAGTTAGCCTGGTCCCTTGCCACACCCACAAACCAAGCTTTCCTGACCTTCGTCCGCCCCGAACCTGCTATAAAGCTTGTGCTTCAATTGTTTCTGTTTCAACCGTGCCTTGCTGGCTTCTACCCTGATCATTTCCATCTCGGATTGGCCCAGAGGAAAGCCTATTCTGAGTTGTTCCTCCCTCGTGATATGTTCTCTCTCTAGTGGGAAGCGCAAAAACCGGGAGAGGGGAGTGGAGGAGACCAGGAAGGTGCATTTGATGCCTCTCACGTGCGTCTGCTCGTGCTTCCACCATTTGCTTTCACTTGCTCGCATGTGCTGGCTGGCGGACGTTAACTGTCAAGTGCGAGCCCCCGTGGAGCCTGTAATTAGAAGTTGACTTGAGCTGACCGGCCATGGGGGAAAGTGTCCGTTTCGAAACTAATCAACGGCAAATCTCCCAAGACAACCTTGCACGATTCGCGCTCCCGTGATATTCGACTTTGTTCACGTCATCCACTTCATTCATTCATTCACATGTTTTTTTTTTCTACAGAGTGAATATTCTGTACGCCATTTTTCCGCGATTTGCTCATCGCCAACTGCCAATTCCGTGGTCCAGGGGCAGGCGAGGAACCCAAGCCGACCCGCCTCGTCGCTGCTCACTATTACTAGGTGCAGTTAGTAGCAGTTGGTGCTTAGTAGGCGTCAAGCTTTGTGCCGCCATTGAAGCCATCGAACCCAGCATCGAACCTAGGCCTTATGGAGACGACTTCTCCTTCGGGACGCGCAGAGTGGCTCCATGGCGTGGATGGCGAAACCTCTTCGTTTCCGTCAGCCGCATTTGTCGCCGCAAATCCCGCTGACGATGATTCCACTGGTTTTTCTACTTCAGCTATCGGCATCACCGACCTCGATATGGACACTCCGTTAACGGATCCCTTTCTAACGGACTCTCCTCCAGTAGTAGCGCGGGCTCTTCAAGATGAGAACGAGTCGCTCGTGTCGGTAGTCGAGCAGCAGCATCAGTCCATCGCGGCGCTGCGACACCGCGCGACGACGGCGGAGCGCGAGAAGCGGTCTCTTAAAGACGAGGTGGCGCTGCTGCGAGAGGCGCTCGCGGCGCGCGACGAGCAGATGGAGAGCTTGGCGGCGCGGGAGGAGGAGGCAGAGGAGGAGCGGGAGCTGGTAGAGCAGGAGAGGGCGGAAGACGCGGAGAGTGAGGACGAAGCGCAGGCGGCGGATGGTATCTCCGCGCAGTTCGTGGTGGGGAGTAGAACCGGCAACCGCGCGGAAGACAGCAGCGGGATGGCGCTCCCCGCGGGAACACGAACGCGCCGGAGAGAGGGGACTATTTGCGGCGGTGGCGGAGGTGACGGCGGCGCCGGCGGTGGGGAGGCGTGGAGAGAGGAGGACGGGGAACAGAAGGAGGTCGTGTGCGGGTACCACGGGTGTGGAGATGAGAGGGGTTTCCGTATCCGGGATGGCGTTGCTTGTCGTGGCGTGAGGGAGAAGGCTTGCGGGACTCATTGCGGGAATCCTACTTGCTGGGAGCAGAGTGAAGAACAGAACCTCTGGTGCGAGAGTGAGAGTAGGGGGAAGCGCGTGGCACGCCATGGTTCACGTGATTGGCATGATTGGCAGCGTTGGGACAATTCCAGCAGAGGCGGTTACTGGGAGGCAGGTGAACTCACTTCGCAGGACGATCACTGCGGTAAGCAGACGCCACACTTCCCGAGCCAACTTCCAAACCACCTCCTGCCGAACCAGCTCTTTCCGAACCAGCCTGTGCCGAGCCAGCGAGGGCATTGCCTGGCTCGGTCCAGCAGCAGCATCAGCAACAGCAGCTTCGCCAGCAGCAGCCGCTGCATCAGAGGCAGGCAGGAGAGGCGAGAGACACCGAGTCTAACCAGGACCTTCAGCCATGGCCCCTGGCATGATGCGCTGCAGGGTTCTGAAAGCTGTATGACGCCCGGAGGAGGGAGTTACGTGGATTCACCACGGCTACATAGCCATGATGACACCTCCAGGCAGTACCACCAGCGTCAGCACCGGAAGCAGCACCAGCAAGAGAATCAGCACCATTGTCACCAGCAGTGTGAAGCTTTGAATGAGTCACAGTTTCAGCACGAGTATCAGCCTCAATATGACGGATCTGGTCTGCATCCTCGGCACCATGTACCTTACCATGGTTCCTGCACCCAGTGCCTCATCTGCCCTCCTCTCGCCCCGCCGCCACTTTGCTCCGTATCCTCCATCTGCTCTCATGGTTCTCATGCCTCCCATGCCTCCCATGCCTCCCATGCCTCCCATGCCTCCCATGCCTCCCATGCCTCCCATGCCTCCCATGCCTCCCATGCCTCCCATGCCTCCCATGCTTCACATGCCACACATGGCTCACATGGCTCACATGGCTCACATGGCTCTGCTTTCGCCACGGCTCCCATCAGCCCTGTCTCTTCGTGTGCGTGCTCTCAGTGCGCTGCTCCATTCTGCAACACGCCGGGCTCATCTGCTGCTGCTGCCTGTGCCGCTGTGGCCTCTACTGCCGGCTCTGTGCCGTGCCCTCCCGTGCACAAGGAGAGGCTACGGCAGCAGCAGCAGCAGGAACGAGAGCGGCACTGCCAGTTTCACCAGCAGCAGCACCAGCTGCAGCATAAACACCAGCAGCGAGAGCAGCACGAGCAGTCAGGGTTGCTGCGCTCCTCTCTTCTTGGCTCAGACTCAACGACCTATTCTGCTGCCGCTGCTGCCACCGCTGCTGCTGCTGTTGCTGCTGCTGGATCCAATACTCACGTGACTCCTACTGCTAGGGTTTTAGGATCAAGAGAATCTATTCAAGGCGCTTTGTGTGTGCTACAACATGACACAACGGCCCTGCCTCACTCCCTCCCATCTCACCCTAGCACCTCTTCTCTCCACTCAGCCTACTCCCTTCCCATTCCATACCCTGCTGTCGCTGCTACTCTCTCCTCCCCTGCTGGCGCTACTGCTGGGCCTGCTGGTGGTTCTTTGGTTGCAGACCCTGCTGCTGCTGCTGCTGCTGCTGCTGCTTCTTCTGCTGCCGCTGCTTCTGCTGCTGCAGCCGCTGCTTCTTCTTCTGCTGCTGCTGCTGCTGCTGCTGCTGCGACTGCTGTGGAGGAGCTACCAGTATCAGCCGTTTACTCAATGCTGCTGCAGCACCAGCAGCTGCTGCAACTCCTGCTCGTCAGAGACACCTTGCTAGCCACCACCACCCCTGCCGCTAACCTCCTCACTCCCTCTTCTGTCACACCTGTTACTGTGACGCCTGGTACTCTCATTCGGGGTGGTGAGGGGAACAGCGATTGGGGAGGTGGTGGGGTGGTGGGAGAGAGTGTGCATGGTGCTGTGGTGGAGAGCTGGAGGAGGGAAGAAGGGGAAGGGAAGAGACGGGGGTGTGGAGAGGGGAGGGATGGGAAGCACCTGCAGGATTCGGTTGGCTGTTTGGGAAATAGTACTAGCAGCAGTAGCATTGGTAGTGCAAGTGGCAGTGGCAGTGGCAGTGGCAGTGGCAGAGGCAGTGGCAGTGGCAATCGTAGTGACAGCAGCGACAATGGTATGAGCAGGGATGGTAGTGAATGCAGTGGAGAAGGTCCATGGTGGGAAGGAGGAGGGAATCAGAAGAACAGGTGCAGCAACAGCATCACGGGTAACAGCATGAAGAAAGAATCAAGCAGCATTGGCGCCAGCAGCGGTGCCAGCAGCGGCGGCGACAGTGGCAGCAGCAGCAGCAGTGTGATGGAAGGGGCCCCAGGGGAGTTACACCAGTTAGGAGGAGGTTCAGATCTGATTTCATTGGCAGGAACTGGCATGCAATGCAAGGGAAAGGAGGAGAGGTTTCTGAAAGATTCGGAGGGCAAAGCGCCTGGCTGTTCTAACGCGGTCGGAGTTTCGTCAAATGAAAAGGAGCGTTCTTCTCGAGGCCTGCAGTGCGTAATCTCTCCGCCCCCCGGCAATGAGCACGCTCGAGTTCAGGGTGACAGCCCTCGCACCCGTGCCGCGGCTGCTGCTGCTGCTGCTGCTTTGGCGGCTCCTGCATCTGACTTCGGGCCTGCTTCCGGATCTTCCGGTGTGGTTTCTGTGAACATGTCATCGTCTCGAGTTGCCGGGGTGTTGGGTCGTCGTGTGGGAGTGGGAGGTCTAGGCTTTCGTGGAGGAATGGAAGGGGGTGCTTTGGCTGGAAGGAGAAGCAACGACATGTGGGCTGTTCCTCTATGTTTTGGTGCTGCTGGCGGGGTAGCCGCTGTGTCGTGTCTTTGGTTAGCAACTGTGTTTGCAGGTAGGAAGGCATGGTAAGTGAGAATTGTCGTACGTAGTTGCCCCAGTTCTCTGAAAATTGTGTATTCTTGTATGTGTTCAGAGCTAGTTTCAAGTCATATCTTACGATTATAATGGTTGAGGGTTAATTTCACTTAACTACTACTCTTAAATTGTAACAACGTGATGTTTCATATGGTCCGTGTTTTTTACAATTTGATCATTTTTTATGCTGATTGCTGAATGATCCCGTTTGCCAGTTGGGTGCGCAGAAGCTATTCGCCTTGCGAAAGTTCTGGCGGCAAACTGCGCACACCACCTTGCCAAACGGTTCCACCTTGCAATCAAACTGGCACACCGCCAACGCGAGCGCGCAACTCAGAACCGAAACGCATTGGCGAAGTGGCGGGAGTGTAACCCCGTGGCGCTGCGCGAAACTTGGGCAGTGGTGGGTCGGTCAGCCCCTGGGAGTGAACAGGCAATGCGTTTTTCCGTGTCTGGCGCACAAGGCCGGAAACAAGGCTGTGGGATTGGCTTGAACCAGAAACCAGATCCTACGGAATGTTTATTTTTCCGTGCGTGGTTGTTCGGTACACGTGCATACAATCCAAGTCTGAAATTTAGGAGTTGTGGATGTGTGCCTTCGATTGCTCCTTTTTCGTTCGTGCGAACATGTCAATTGCTAAACGTCAGGGGAAGTTGACTATGCTTTCGGAGTGCTTGAAACTAGGACGCCAAACATTGAAAGGTTTTACTTCTGAACCAGACCGCAAAAAAAACTAGATTTGGCGGGGTAACGGCAGCGAAAGCAAGCGAACTGCTTCAACCAGCGTCACCGCGTCGCATTTCCCGCGACCTGATTCAACAGTTGCGCCAAACGATCAAGCAGCAGGTCAGCTCACGCTCCTCTCTCAACAATCCATACTGATCATAACATTGCAGCTACCTCTCACAAACAACTACTCCCATCCAATACTTCCTAATTCGCGTCTGTTCAAGTTCTCTGACCATCACCATGTCTAGGGCTCTCCTTCTGGCCCTTGCGGCCATCGGTGAGTCTCTCATTCCTAGCCCTTCAAACGCTGTGTAAGCTATCATGTCCCCCGTGTTTGACTCTACCGACGAATTTTGTGTTTCAGGATGCTGGGCCATCTGTGCGTCTGCTCAATGCGCCAGTCCACTGCAGTCATGCGACTTCTACTTCTACGGCTATGACAAGGCCGTTCCCGTCTTGAAGCTCAAGTCTGTGCGAGATGAGAAGGTGGTCACCACCGGCCTTCGCTGGAAGTACGTTTTTCTCCCTCCTTCCGAATTCCATCAAGCATAAAGATTTTCACTATCTCTTCGCATTAAGAGATGAAACTAAACCCCATCGAACGCTTTCTTTTCTGCTTTCAGGGGTCAGTCCCTTTTCGTCGAGACAGCCACTACACTCGGAAACTCGACGTGCAAAGTTGTAGGCCAGGTAAGTTGATGACCTTTCAGTCAGTTTCAACGTTAGTTCCGACCAAGAAGATGCTTACGCGCCAAATTCCACCGTATCGCGTGCGCAGAAGAAGGTATTTTGCGACAACTACTTCTTCTTCCGTCCTCGTGGCGGTAAGAAGTCATACGAGAAGTACATTAACCGCTCGGACCGTCTGGGCATCCGTCCCATTCCTAAGTGGAAGCTGAGGCAGTTGAGCAACCAGTGCATCCAGATGGGAGTTGATTCCGCAAAGATTAAGATCCTCAAGGCCAAGACCCAGAACGCGTCTGTGTGGATCAACCCCAACGACAACAACGCTGAGTTCCCCCAGGTTTGTAAATACACATCTTCTGTTAGCTCCACATGACCTTGTTGTTCCTTCTGTGTGGTCTAAACATCTTTCCTTTTTCTCCTGCAGAAACGGCGTTGCGTGGCTTTCAAGATTGTCACTGCTTAAGCTGCATTTCTATTTATTGGCGAAAGTGTGCACACATTCTTTGGCTCTAACACTGCCCATGAGGCTTGGTTCTTTACATAGGTGATTTATAGGTAGCTCACGTAGCGCGAATTATGGTAGTGGCGATATGGCACATTGTGTATTCCCATTAGTAACTATAAAGCTTTAGAGGAAATTCTCAAGTCTAAGCGACGTTTCTGTTCATCGGACCTGTGCTGTTAGGGGGCTATAGTCAGTGCAATCATACATGAGGACAAACTAGGCTGGGTGAACAAGTTGCATGAAAGCCCTGTTCTTTGCATCTTAGAATAGAGCACATAGGCGATTCATTTCTAGCTCACATAGGAGGGACCACAGCGGCAATATGGCACATTGGCTATTCCCAATTAGTTTCCACGAAGTTTTCAACATGACGGTAATTATCGAGCCCACTTACCGCCTGGATATTTAAGTCTTGAACAGGATTGATAAGGTCACGCTTTGGCTTTTTCGTGAAGTCACAATAGCTGCGTGGACGAATGCTGGACGAGTGGAAGATCTGGTCTACATTAACATGACAACATATGTTAACAACCAGATGGTAATAAAACGACTAGTTTTCATTGTCCTCTTCCTCCTTGGTTACATCTGCTTCTGTCCCAGAAACGCTGGCACCCTGCGCGGTAGCCATACCAGGTGGAGCAGGTCCATGCCGCAGAATCCAATGCTCCCCATCAGGCTCCACCCACATTCCTCTGAGCGTAGCGAACAGAGTGATTGCTCTCCGAACTCCGGAGTTGTCTGCCTTGCTGAAGTAGTCGTGTCCAAACATAACCCCTCCTGGCCTCAGTAACCGGTACGCAAGATTAATATCCAACCAGGCAGAGTGAAAATCATGGCCTGCGTCTACCTCCACCAAGTCTGCCTGGACGCCCCAGTCACACAGGGCTTTGAGCGAGTGAGCAGTGGAAAACGGCAGTGGGAGGATCACCTTCTCCTGACCAGCTTCAACAACATTCTTCATGAAATACTGCAGCAACACAGCGTCTCCGTTAACGTGCTTTATTTGGCGGAAGGAGTTGCGGAAGCCAGGCCAACCGCGGAAGTCGTCGAGGCATAAAATTGTGATGGGATCGAGACCCAGCTCCTGAGCCTTAGAAGCCATGTTGATAGCAGAGGCGCCTAAGAATGAGCCGACTTCAATGATCAAGTGGGGTCGGACCTCCCGAATAAGCCTTTCAAAGACAGAATTGTTGGATCCCCAACCGCGGAGGCGCATGCGCTTTTTCAGCAGCGGACGGACGGCTTCAGATGGGAAATCCTCGAATGGGCTCACTCCGTCAAAGATCTCATCCAGCACAAGGGTTCGAACTGCCTCAGGTCCGCGTCCTCCAATCCGGTCGGTACTGCTATTGGCACATGACCCTGGAAACTTAATGAGGTCAGTCGGTAAGATTCCGAGATTCTTGAAAGCAGCTTCAATGCCTTGGTATGTTCCAACCCGGCGACGAACGTTCTTATGAACGTAGGTTAATGAACCCGATGTAGAGGAGGGCGCAGACGAGGAGAGATCGAGATTCAGCTCGTTCGAACTGGAAGATTCGCGATCAACGAATATGAAACGGCCAGCCAGAAGCATGACGAAGAGAAGACAGAGGCCAACCAGCACAGGTACAGCTGCGCGGTTGACCGGAGTATTGTGCTTGTGCATGGTGTAAGAGTGCAGTGCGAACACTGGATGGATCAGCTTGAGGCTGTTGTAAGATACGAATGCTACTGCTCGACGCCGGAAACGTGACTTAACTCACACAGCTGCACGTTCTAACACTTAGAAATCCAGACACCTTTGAAATCAAGTCTAGCCAGAAGCGAGAAAAGATGTGTGTGAAGTTATGATGCTGGGTTATGCGGAAGGTAAGTCGGGAAGGCGAGGTAGAAATGGCAGATCCAGCAGCAGTAGCGCAGGAGACACACATGCTTCCAACTCTCTTCGAACTCTGATTGGGAGAGAGAAAGGGTAGTCCATGACAATCCCTGAGCGGGAACAGACCGCGCGCCATGTGGAAGGATGAACCTTGAAGAGAGTTGAGGCTGTGACAACAGAGCAAAAACGACCTTGAGCTTGGATTTCCTCTGTTTGATTTTTCGCACCTATACAGTTTTATCACTTTGCAGTGGGAGGTGGCTAGAGAATATTTTTACAACTGCAATAATACCAGTAATCCCCCGAACGGGATGTAGTCTATGTGCTTTTTCTTGTGAACACGGGAATAATAAAAATTATCTTACTTCCACATAAAACGATCCACATGATTTTCTACCACAACAACAACAGATATCAAAATGGTCCTAGGCAGAAAGAGGAAAAGAAAGGAAAGAAAGGCATAAATGAAGGAGAAAGGAAATGAAGAAAGAAAGGGAGAAGGAAAGTGAAACTGCCAAAAAGAACCCAAATGCAACACACATAAAACTCCCCCTCAAGATACCCAAGCAAAACGCCTAGTAAAGACACCCCATCAAGACATCCCACCCCACACCCCATTTACCCCCCCCCAATCACAACAGCGTATCCACCAAATCTACGTTAATCCCCCCCCATGGAAGACGCCGCTCGAAGCAGGATGACACGGACTTGCACACGTTGTAACGCCACTCCGATGAGCGCCTTCAGTGACCCTAAAAGATAAGCCGAAAACACAGAGTCGTCCTCCCGAGAAGCCCCCTCGCGACACAGCTAGACCCACGTGCGCATCCCCCTGCTGACGAAGCCACCGCCGAAAACGACCGCTGAGACACCCCCACGTCTCTACTATCAGAGGGTGAACTGCACGCCCCGGTTGCGTGCAAGCAGAGGCGCGTAATCACTCGTTTCGCGACGCTCCCACTCTCTTGCCGCCACACCTATTTGACGCCCGCACTGTCCTAGCAGGGATGGAGACAGCAATAGCGGGTCCGCGACGCTGATCTCTAGGGCGTGAGCCTCTCCAGCAGTTGGTCGTCGCACCGCCACATTAACCCGCTTCCCCTGCAGCACCACACTATCCTCCATTGTCACCACTCCCCCTGACGCCTTAGAGATCTTCGCCACCGCAAACTTCACCTCATCATGCACCCGAGATGGACCGTGCTGGTGCTTGCATCTCAGGGCATGACGCGGGTCTGCTGGATCAATATACGCTGTGCCACAAACACACCTCCCCGCCACCTGCAACTGCTGAATTGGGAGCCCGAGCCGTATAGCAGCAGCAATGCCCCACTCGGCCGCAGTGAATGTGAGATCTGAGTGAGCCGGAACCGCCGAAACCCATGCACCCGCCCCCGGGCCCTGAAGGGATGTGAAACGGGCCAAGGTAGCATCGTTACGAGCCAAACGGCACAGTGCCTGGAGCTCCTCTACATCTAACTGCCGTTGCCATGCATGGAAAAGCCGAACAGGAGGGGCCGCTACACACAGAGGTAAGCCCGGTATGTCCTGGCGAATAGTCGCTGGCAACTGCTCAAGAGCCTTGGCAAACCACAGGTCAAGAAACTCTGCCCCTGTCGAAGTGGTGAGGTACTCTGCAAACATCGCCTTCTCGCCCGCCACCCCTAGCTGTGCAATGTCACGCGCGGCCTGCGCCCACCCATAAACATAGGGCAGTGGGCTCAAAGAGGCCGCCGCCTAGATCCCGAACCCTCCGAGTCGCACAAGGAGATGCAGCTGCATGCGTGCGCGCCTAGACCGGTCGGGGTCCTCCTCCCAAGTGCCAGGTGGGAAAAGCTGCTCAAAGCAATCCTCTAAACAGCTGTCCCAATCCCTAAAAGCCTCAACCACCTCCAGACGCGGCGGCATAGTCCGGGCGAGGTACATCGGCCGCGCTGAAACTGCAATGGCAAGGAGGTGTGAAGCCATCTGGGGGTGGTCCACCTCCCTGCCCTCGCGCTCCCAAAACCGGCACTTGTGCGCCTGCACCTCCAGCCCCACCCAATCCAACCGCTCCCGCAGCACCCCAAAAGCCTCCAGAATCCTAGCCGCTGGCCCCAAAATATAGGTATCATCTGCATAGCTGAGGAAAAGCAGGTCCACGAACTCCATAGTAACCGGCTCCATCACCTGCTGCTGCGTGAACGCGAAAAGAAAAGGGCCGAGCGGGCCCCCCTGCCTTGATCCCCGTGCCGACTCGAGGCTCTGTACTTATAAATGTATCTGATTGGTAATTCAATTAATTTATCTTACAACCGGAGGTCCAAGAGTTTCGAAGTTAGGAAGGTTGGTAGGGGCAAGAAAAGTGACTGGCTCGCGAGCCAGGGTGGTGTCGAAATCAGTGGTAGCGGGTCGCAAAGTAATATAAACTCGCGAGTGTAACCAGATCCGGAATGCTACGTCCGAACTGCTTCGCAGACTGTTTCGGACGGGCTGCAATTTTGTTTGCAAAGTTGTCACTGTTATCGTCCTCGCGAGAACAGTAATTTCGCTTAGCGAAATTCGTCCCAACAATTTGCGAGGAGAGTCGGTATCAACTGGGTCACGCCCAACCAAAGTTAGGAAGGTTGAGGCAGTTTTGGGCTTTTTGGGACTCCAGTTTTAATTTGTAGGATTTGCTCCCTGGTACAGAACTAGATTTCTTGCTGAGGGCGTGTCCCGAAAGTTTGTAAGCAGTTTCGGGACCCGGTTTTACGTAAAACAACACGTACAGCAGCGCGGTACACACACGTTTCAGGTACGTACACATCACTCCGAACGGAGCCCGAAATCCAAAAACCTGACAGGGACTCGAGGCTCTACAGTGCCTCGACTTGTACAGCCAAATCTCGGCCTGTTACCAGGTCCACCTTGCCAACGGACAAAAATGACTGTCGCAGAGGAATTTGCGACAGCAGGGCGAGTTCGCCCAAGGGAGATGCTTCGAATCTGGAACTCCTCGCTTCCTGTTCTATCTGTTCCAGGTACTCTATCTCAAATGGCTGTCCAATACGCAGTCCAAGTTGAGACGGGTCAGTTTTTTTTGTACAGTTTGGTGCCGTGTACAGACGAAAAAGTTGGCGAGTGGCGAAAAGCAATATTGTGGTTACTTTTCACCAAATGAAATGTAAATGTACTTTCGGGACACGCCCTAAACACCAGCATAGCGTGTCGAGTAGAACTTCCAAACCTTGAGTCACGCTTATTAGGGAACTGACCGACTGACCTTCCCCACAACCCTGTGCCCACATTTCAGGATTTTTTTTTGGATGGCCTGGAGAGGTGAAAACACACTGCACACCTAATGCAGCGCGATATTTAGATAACTGCCCTGGAACCGTTTCAATAAAAGCAAAACTCCCACCAGATTCAAAACCCCATGGCTGACGCAAACTGGTCAGGAAGGCAATCCGATATATTTGCCACGCGTTGCAAGGAGGACACATCTGCGTGTCAGCCTCGTGCTTTCTCGAGAGTTGCGAGAGAAGCTTGCATTGATTTGAGGGTTCCTCCTGGGTTTAGCTTAGGGTGGTTTCTCCTAGCGTAATCGTCACCTTCTCTTTGAACGAAAATCCCCAGCTCCTTCTTGTAGCGTGACGTAAACAGAAATTCGCAGACGTCTGTCTTGTATTTGCAGAGAGCCAGCAGCACTGCCATAACACGCCTCACCGACTTCGCTTGCGGTTTTCCTGTCAGTTCTTACTATCACACCAGTTGGCTTATCTTGACGCGTCTCCTCTCGCTCAAGGCCGACTCAAGGGTGCTGATCAAGTGGCTCATTCCAAACCCCCCAGCATTGCTTCTTGCCGCTACGCTTTCTTCGACTAATTCGCGCGGTTTCTTAGTTAGTTAGGTCGTTGGGTCAGGACACGGTAATCGCGGTTAGGGTTTCCAGTTGCGTGCCTCGCTTTTGCACATAGTCACGACGAGATCTCACGTTGCCTCGTCGGTCGTTCCGTCGCGTCGCGTGTCTGCGTGATCTTCTCTCATCGTAGTGGCGTATTGCTGAGCCACCCCGAAACAACTTGGCCGCGCCACAAGTTTCGTTGTTCGTCCCACTCTTTGTGTGCCACTATCCCCCGCTACTGTCCCCTCGCGCCTCTGTCGCGCCGCGCCTTGACTCGAAGCAACCTCTCACGCCTTGCACCTTGTCGCATCGCCGCAATGATGTCGTCGTCGCAGCTCCGACTTATGTCGGACCTCAAAGCGATTCGTCAGGAACCCCCTGAGGTTCGTATGTTTAAGGCACTAAAAGAATTGTCCCTGTGTGCGTGTAAATCTTGACTCGCTCCTGAGGTTCGTCGCGGAATGTTCATCCTCCTTCCTTTCTTCCTATCCCTCCGTTTCCTCGTCCGTCCGTCTCTCCTCCTTCCTTCCCCCTTCGCTGTTTCCCGCGCCGCTCGCTTTCTCTCCCTCTCTCCCTATCGTACTCCATCTTTCCCCGTCTTCCCTTCCTCCTTACTCTCTTGTTCTCTCGCCGTTCCTGCGTGTCTATCTGCCTTCTGCAACTGTTCTCTTCGCTCTGGTTTGTCAACCTTGGTTCGTTTTTTGCGGCGCTTGAAGACTAAAGTCCCGTATCTACGCACCTCAGTGTTTCGTTCGTGGGAGGGTGTTCGCGTGCGCGAAAGCGCGCGCTCTGTTTCGATATGTGGTCATGCGGGTAGGCGTTGCGTGTGCAGATTCGTGTTTGCACGTGTGCACACGTGGCCTTTTCCGCGTGAGTGTCGGCGTGCTGCCAGTGAATCTCGTCATTCAAACCTTTAACAAACGCTTTCCTTCGCGTGCAAGCAAACTCGTTATAGGCGCATGCTCCAGAAAAATATACATTTTTTCATTTTCTGAGACGATGTTTTAGGCGCTCAAACGATTGTAGTGCAAGCGAATCTGCTCCGCGTTCTCCACCTGGTCGTTTCAGCCTCTCTATCCACAACACTCCACACCCAACTGTACCGCACTGCACTGTACCACACCAGGGATGCAGTGCGAGTCCTCAGAGCGAGGAGAATCTCTTTGTGTGGAGCGCCACCATTTTCGGCCCAGACGAGTCGCCTTGGGAGGGTGAGCAATCGTGTTGCAGTTGTTCCTGCTGCTGCTGCTGCTGCTGTTGTGAATCATTTTATTTTTTTGGAAAACCCTGGCATTGTGGTTTGGTTGATGAATTCTGTCATAATATTTGGCACTCCTCCCCGCTGCTCCTCCCTCCCACCCCTCTACCTCCCCCCTCCCCCCCTCCCCTCCCCCCCTTTCCAACCCACCCACCCGCTTTCCCTATTTTCTCCTCTCTCACCTGATCGGGATCTCTCTCTCTCTCTCGTACTCACGCACACACACATACACACACACTCACTCATTCACACACACACACACATTCACTCACTCACCCCACCCTCTCTCCCACCACTTTCCCGCACCCCTCTCCAGGCGGCATCTTCTCGCTGCGACTCATATTCAGCGAGCAGTATCCTGAGAAGCCCCCTCGTGTGCGATTCACCACTGAAGTCTTCCACCCCAATGGTGATTGCCCTCTCCCCCCCCCATCAGTGACTGAGGTCTCCCTTCCTCTCTCTCCTCCTCTCCCCCCCCCCACTCTCCCCCGCACCTGCCTCGCCTTAACCCTCCATGTTTTGGTGCATGCAACCTTTGATCTTGGCACCAATCGCATGCCCCCGCGCCGCTCCTCATCCCCACCCTCCCACTTCCCACCACTTCCTCTCCTATGCACTGCCTTTCCCACACGCCCCTGGTTTCTTGTTTCAAATCCCTGTCGCATCATGTAGAACCTGGTCTTGGGTTTCTGATGCACATGCACCTAAGGAAACTAGCACACACACACACGCCCCCCTGGTTCCTGGACCCTTTTTTTTTTTTGCGATTCCTGGTTTTGGTTTCTGCTCACTTGCACTGACCAACAATGGCATGCGGTGCATGGGTATCATCCATGCTGAATGGTCGCTCATCAAGGCAGCTTAGATACTTTCCCACACGTCCCACACGTCCCTAAAACCCATGGTTTCTGGTTGCTGGTCTCTGTTGTTGTTGTTGTTGTTGTTGTTTATTCTTTTTTTTCTTTTTTCTTTTTTTCCCTCCTGATTATTAATTTTACGCGCAGTGTACAACGACGGGACTCTTTGCATGGACATCATTCAGGACGCGTGGTCACCATGCCACAACATCTGCACCATCCTCACCTCCATCCAGGTGACTGCTGCTGCTGCTGCTACTGCTGCTGCTGCACCTTCGTACTCCATACCGTTCCTTAGTGGCGTGGTTTCCTTCTGACTTGTCATGCTGTGCTTCGGTCTCCCTGCACCACTCACTCACGCTCACACTGCTTGCATTCTCTGTTGCCTCCCTTTCCACCTCCTCCCCTCCCTCCCACTCGTCTCGCACTCACTGCTCAGAGTCACCTATCCCTATTTGTCTCCTCATCTCTTCCAATAATGACAATCTAAGACATCTCGTATCCCTCCTTTCGAAACCCTCCTCTTCTTGTCCTTCTCGTCTTGCAGTCATTGCTCACAGACCCCAATCCCTCCAGCCCTGCAAACGCCGACGCTGCTCAGCTGTTTTCCAATGACATTACCGCTTACAACAGGTGGGCGCTGCTGCTGCTGCTGCTGCTGCTGTGCTCCTGCTGCTGCTGCTGCTGCTGCTGCTGCTTGTGCTTCAATTACTAGCGTCCGTTTTGTTCCTGCTCAGAGCGTGTGAAATGTCCTTGCACTCAATCCTCATGCTTCTGTTCTGCCCACATCCTCTCTGTCTTGGCATCTCCTCTGACTGCCCTTTTTCTGTATCTCGCTTTGCCACATGCGTTATTCGAAACGATTTCATAGGCACCTCAAAGCTCTCCTCTCTGTACCTCGCCTTGCCACACGTGTGTTGCTTGCAGGAGAGTGAGGCAGTGTGTGCGCAAGTCGCTTGACAACATGCAATGACCAGCGCTAGGCACTGAGTGTCGCGTGCCGAGTGCCATGTGCCACATGTTGGAGGGTTGCGTTGCATGGGGGAGAGGGAGGGTGGGTGGGAAGTTGGGAACAGAACAGAGGTTCCGAGGAGGGAATGACTCATGAGACTCATGACACAGAGTCACCTCAGCCCACCTCGCACCTGGTGCTGATCCAGAGGTGCTTTCAGGGCAGCCGGTGTGGTAGTGTACTTTAGCTGTAAGTAGGCTTGTAATAAAACAAATGGGCATTATAGTGCACGCTTTCCAGATACCGGTACGGTGCCTAGGAGGTGCAGGGACAAGGAGCTGTGTGAGTTCCTGAATGTGGCGTGCTGTAACGGATGTCGCGTGCAGTAGCAGCATAGCTGTGGAACACTGTGACAATGTTGTGAGTCGTGACTACGGTATATGCTGTTGGCTTGTCCTGGTGTGGTCAAACTTTGCAAGCCTGTTTTAGATGCTCACAGGATTTTAGATGCTCACAGGATTATGCTCACCTGTCGTTCCCCTCTGCAGCATCCTCGGGATTTCAGGGTTCCACAAATGTGCGTCCCCTTGCGCAAGGAAGTATCTGTTTGGAGCATCTGCTGAGGTGTTTCCAAGCTGATGATACTAATGGTGGCATGAGTACCTTTGCACTTGGAAAAAAACGAAGGAACAGTAAGCAACAGGGATAGTGTTCGTAAGCAACAGTAAGCAACTGGGATTCTTGCAGCATGGAATGGAGTCACATGAACAAGGTATATCACTATCTACACTTGTGCACAATACAATACATTTATAATGGGTACCAAGTTACCAACCATTTGAGAAGCTATTGCAAGTCCATGGCAGCTACAGCCTCCATGTGCATATCCAGGGTCGCTGGTTTCTGCCCAGCAAAGTACAGTCGCTCCCGCACCTCCACGCCACATAATGGTCCGAAATCCGCTGCTGGAACTGCCGCCGAGCCTGGTTGCTGTGGCTGCCTAGGGAACGCCACTGCTGGTGCTGGTGCCGGTGCCAGCGTTGGTGCTGCAGCTGCTGCTGCGGCTGCTGTTGCTGGTGCGTGCGATGGCAGCATAGCATCATGAGTCAACCCGCATCCTTTCACCATGGCATCTTTCAGTAGCTCCACAAACCGCTGCTTCTCATTGCCGATCCAGGGCCTGCGCCGGTCCTCCCACTGGCGCGGCGTGCCGTGAACCCGCACCATTACTGCCTTGCTGCACGTTGCACATGCCGCTGACGGATCTGCAGCAGAAACAGCAGCCGCAGAAGAAGCCATACCAGGGGAACTTCTGGACGCAGCAGCAGCAGCAGCAGCATCGCCGCCAGTAGCAGCACCAGCTGCACTGGCACCAGTAGCAGCATCACGACCACCAGCGGCAGTAGCAGCAGCAGCGGCGGCGGCGGTGGCGGGAACCTCAGTCACCTGCAACACCTGCTTGTTCTTCCAGAGATACGAGCCGTGCTGGCAAAGCGCGGGCCGGAGCTGGCAGGCGTGCACAAAGGCGGAGAGAGTGCGAGGATCAGTGGGATACGCCCCTCGGCAGTTCAACCCCACATCCACATATTCCCACGCTGCTGCCTGCTGTAGGAAGGCCATGGGTGAACCTGGCAGGGAGAATGGCAGCGGGGAATCTGCTGCTGCTGCTTCTACCGCTTCTGCGGCTGCTGCTGCTGCAGGTGCCTGTGCTGCTGCTATCGACGCAGGCACAGCGAGAGCAGGAGGTGGGATTTTTGACAGCGAATCAATCTTGCCCAATCGATCTTCGGTCTTCCCCAGTCGCTCACTGACTGCCACCTGTGCTGTGAGCATCTGCCCTGCCTCTGCTGCCTCTGCCAGCAGCTGGTTCAGCACCACACCACCCTTGCTGAACCCAAACAGGTGCACGGGATGGCACACACCACAGTTACCACTACCACCATCACAACCACCACCACCACCGCTACCGCTGCCACTGTCACTGTCGCCGCTCGCAGAACTGTTCCTCTTGCTGTCTTCTTTTCCATCGCAACAATCCGCTACCTCTCGCCCCTCCGTCGTCTCCCCACCCATCTGTCTCTCCACGTCCCTCCCCACCTGCTGCAGCAGCGCCAGAAGCCTATGGGCCGTTGGCAGGCCCAGAGGTTTGTATCCCATTGGCTCCCCTGATCTAGTCAACACTGCAGGGAACGAGGAGGAGGAGGAGAAGAAGGAGGGGCTTCTGGGGGAGGAGGGGGAGGAGGAGGGAGAGTAAGCTGCTGGGGAGGAGGGCGAGGAGGAGGAGGAGGTGGAGCGAAGGAAGGAGGCGTGGGCGGGTGATGTGGAGGAGGGAGAGGAGGGGAAGGAGGAAGGCGAGGTGTGGGAAGGGGTTGTGGGAGGTCCAAAGAGGTTCTCGTAGCAGGCGAATGGTCCCTCGTACCGTGATGGATACACCACCCAGTTGTTGAAACACCGCTCTTGCTCTCCCTGCTCCTGTTCTTGGTCCTGCTGCTCCAGCTGCTTCTCCTCCTCCTGCTGCTGCTCCTGCTCCTGCCTTCCCACCTCCTGCTGTGCTGTGCCGTCCTGCAAAACCGGTGGCCCATCCGCAGCACCTCCCGCCTGCTCCTCTTTCCTCCCCTTTGCGCTTATTCTACGCAGTTTCCCCTCCACCAGCGCAGCTATCACCTCAGGCCGCGACAGATGGTCCACGCGCGCGCTGCCACTGCCCTCCACATTGTCCCCGGGGAAGAAGATCGCCGTGGCACATGGCTGGGTGCGGTTGGGTGGGGATGAGTTGGGATGGGTGCAGATGGGTAAACAATGGTGCAAAATAATTTTCTGTATTGACTTAAAAGACAGATGGTCCACGCGCGCGCTGCCACTGCCCTCCGCGTTGTCCCCGGGAACGAAGATAGCCGTGGCACGTGGCTGGGTGCGGATGGGTGCGGATGGGTACGGATGGATACAACGGTGCAAGGGGGGCAACGATAGGTACAGAGCGAGGGTGGGAGCAATGAGTGCCTGTGTGAAAGAAGGAAGCAGGTGAACATTCTTACGAGACCGTACCTTCAAGGGAGGCTTGCACAAGGAGTGGTACACGGAGGAGCAGCACCCCTGTGCGTGTAGTATCACAATCATTTGTCTCTCACAGCTGAAAAACTTCACACACGTCCACGTCCGTGGTACCTTCAAGGGAGGCTTGCACAAGGAGTAGTACACGGATCCGGCTCGGCCGTTCTCGCCTCGGTCCAAGCGGCTCGCGTTATCGCGTCCGCTCGTCGTTTCCTTCACCGCAGGGCCAACCCCATCCGCGAACCACGTGCCCTGAATCTTCAGATTCGCTATCGCCGCCGGGAGCGAGTCCTCGTCAGTGACGGAGTTTCCTTTGTTTCCTCTCATTAAAGATTCTCGTGCTGCAGAAGCCACTTTGGTGTGAGCTTGACCTCCATGGCTCAGGAACGCCATTCCAGCTTCTGAGACAACTGCTCTACTGGAAGTCCCGTTGGCAGTCGCGAGAAATTTTTAAGAACTGGTACGAATCGAATTGGAAATGGGGATTTTGAGGCGGTGAACGACGGAAGCGGCGCGAAAATGTGGAGCTTCAGCAGTCGTGTACTGTGCAGTGACATTCATACACAATACGGCAGGGACGCACAAACTGTGTCCAGAGTTCAGGACTCCATAAGGGTAAAATGAGCGAATATTCTTCCGACTGGAAAAGGAAACCTTGCGGGCTAAGCGGGTATAGAATGCAGAATGAGAAGCTGCTATGGCTGGATGGAATCGGGAATTCTGTACGAAGGGATGTTCGAATATGGATTCTGGTGCAAACCAGGGAGATTTGGCCTCGTTATGTCCTCTTTACTGAGAGCCTCGGTAATGCCCTCTTTACTGATAGCCTCAGCATGGGAGAAATTGATAACGCTCTGAAATTCGAGTTTACTTTGTCTCGGCACAGTCAATCTAGGCACAGATGCAATCTGGCCCGTTGAGTTTGTCTCTAGAACCTCCGTCACAGACCAACGAATGACACGGGGGCTGGGTTGGAGTTTCCAAGATTTGCTGTTCGCCGCACCGGGATTGGTCGACAGAACTTTTGCCAGCCATCGCTATTGGCTGAAGACCGCAATTCACCGTCAACGACGCTCGTATTTCTTCGCCTTCTCGCCAGTGTCGACTCACGCGCGTCACCTCCAACCCCAGGATTCCGTTGAGCGGTGGAAGTGGAGTTTGTTTTGGCCCAGATCTCGAAGCTTCAAACACAGTCTAGTCAAGTGCTAGGAGACTGTAGTGAGTTTATCTTAGTTGTCTCTTAGATTCTCCATCGCAGACTCCGCTCCTGACGCCCTCGCGATCTTTACTGGCAACAATCTTCTTGTTTAATTGCGACCGGTCTGACTCGTCGCATTCCTAAATCAAACCAGAACAATGAGTAGTCCTGTTTTTCATTCGCGTACCATGGCGTGGATCGCCATTGGTGTTGCTCTTAGCTCCCTATTCGCGACAGTAATTGCAGAGCCGCGTGAGGTAAGGACTTCGTGATTTTTCTTACGAAGAATTGAATTAGCAGCCGTCTAGCAGCACATTCACTTCACTCCAAACTAGGTTGCGTTTCTTTGTCAGCAAAAGCTAACGAAATTCGTTCAAAATGGCATTCCTTCATCCGCCATTTGGTAAAACTTCAAATTTTCACCACTTTCTCCGATTCTCCCACCAGGTGACGATCGGGTCCGCCATAAAGCTCGTACACGACCGCCTGAAGCACCGTTTGCACTCGCACGAGGTCAGCTATGGCTCGGGAAGCGGTCAGCAGTCTGTGACCGGCTTCCAAGGCGGAGACGACGGCAACAGCTACTGGATCGTGCGCTGCATTAACAAGGTTGTGTGCGAGCCCGGTCAGACCCTGGGAGATGGTGCGGTGTTCCGTCTGCAGCACATGAGGACGAGAAGATGGCTTCACTCCCACCTGCATGCTTCCCCTCTCTCAAACAACTTCGAGGTACGATCTCTCAAACCTCCCCTTCGTTACATTTGCAGCCAAGAGTGTGCCTAAATTCTTTCTACCCTCTATTTCTTCCTTTCACGAAGTCGAAACTAGATTGTTGCGGTAAAGGTACAATACTTCGCTTTCTGTACACATTACCGTCAAAATTTACATGTCCAATAATCCTGCAGGTCAGTGCGTATGGAGATGACAACCAGTCTGACACTGGCGATCACTGGAGGTGAGATGGTCTTGTCCGAGTGCCCCTGTCAAGTGGTTTGTGGATTGTTGCGTGGAATGCATATGTTCCCATCAGTCACCTAGGGTGCGAACATAGCTGTCTCGTCACTTTGCGAGTCATGTGTTTTAGGTAGGTCGTATTTTCCTGATGAGGTTCTTCGTTAGCGGAACTGTGCTATTCCTTGCTGGTGGGATAGAGTATGCTCCATAAGCCACCAATCACTAGGATGCAGCACAGTCGGTTCTGCATGGCTTATGACAAGAATCTTTTGTGACGTATTTTCTGTTTTCTTTGCATCCAGGCTGGAGATTGAGGGACGTGGCTCTGTGTGGATGCGCGACCAGAAGGTTCGCTTGCAGCATGTGGACACAGGGGGGTTTCTGCACTCGCACAACAAGCAGTACGGTCGGCCCATTGCTGGACAGTATGAGGTGAGTGAGACTCATGATACTGCAATGGTTTGGCTGTGCATCTCTCCTCTCGCCTCCCTTCTCCCGTCCCCCTCTTCCTCTTCATGTGCCGTTTCAACCTCTATGCTCTTTAACCCTCTCCTGTGTATGCCTTTTGCCCCCAACAAATGTAACCAGATTTGTGGTATTCAGCGCAAGTCACCTGAAAACATTTGGAAGGCCACAGAAGGAGTGTACTTTCCTGCAACTTCCGAAGTCCAGACTGACTAAATTACTGCTGCGGATCCAGCTTAGAAGAAATTTATGGATTGAAATTTTCATTCAAGGTCTGTTTTTCTGCCGTTACTTTTTGGAACTTGGAGGTTCCTATAGCTGGGCACAATGTGCTTAAGTTCTTAGAATGCAATTGGAGACAAGATTGCTGAAAAGAATCATGGATGTCTGGTGTAGAGAATCTCACTGGTGTGTATAAGCGTGAGTAGCTTTGTAGTGAGGTCTTCCGTTAGACCGGCGGCACACCTTTTTGTTTCGTGGGTGGCGTTATTTCATGTTCATGAATTTGTCCCACGTCACTCTGAAATGTGTACTGAATCACACATATCCCTCCACGCTCCTCCGATGCGAGCAATCTTTCAGTGTTCGATAGCTCCAAATCGACATACAACTAGCACAGTCACTTTTAAACTCGAGTTTCCCCATCAGAAAGCCGCGCATTAGATTGTTGTGGGTGTTTCGAAAATCCCTTACCATTATGGCACGACCCTCGAGAATTGGAGGGAGGAAGCCCACATGGGCTGTGATCCCAAATCCATGGCAGATTCCGTTTTCCAAGACAGCACAGGCAGCAGCAGCATTCGCCTCGTCGCTTGATCCACCAGCAGAATCTCCCACTCGACTTTCGACTTATCTGCAGCATTTTACAGTAGTCGATCAATCGTTCGTGGCCCGTTTGTGTTGTTCGGGTTGCTCTCAATACGTCTAGTTTACCGCCGCTGCCAGTATGTCGCAATAACCAAGAACCTTATCGCTTCCACCATTTGGCGAGACCCGCCGCATGGGACACGTGGATGCATTTTTGGCGGGAATGCCACAGGACCTCCCAGACCCCCTCAGCGCCGCTGACGTGGACGCCGACAGACATTGCGGCCCACGCTGGCGGGACGATGACGCGGATACTGCTGCAGCCTTCGAAAACAGAAGCGAGGATGACGTGGCAGTTGCGGATTTGCCGCCGCGACGAGACACGGCATCCGCGGAGCCCGCACTGCCGCGTTGCGACATCATGCGGCTGCCGCCTGCGCTGCTCGCCCGCGTTATGCGGCGAGTCGACTTCCGCGATCGCATCGCGGCAAGCATGACCTGCTCAACGTGGCGCCTCCTCGCATCTGCTGTTCCCCCAGAAGATTCGTTCTTAGAACCAGAACCGGAGATTAACTACGTCCCTGGAGGAATTTCCGGCGGTCCTTCCGGCGGTTTGAGCCGCAGAAACAGCATAGCAGCAGGGGGGCGCTTGTTTAGAACCAGTAGCGTTGCCTCCGCCGCCGCCGCCGGATCTGGCGGCGGGTTAGCTCGAACAAGCAGCGTCGCCGCAGTAGCAGCGCGAGGCATTCCAGCCTTCGTTAGAAGCACGAGCTTCTCTAGTAGATCTGATTCGGCTAGTATCAGCGATTCGTCAGGCATTATGAGCGGGGGCGCCGCCGCCGGCACGAACTCCGTTCCGTCCTTGCCCGAATCTTGGACGGATCTGCCTCCGGACGAGCAAGAAATGGCGGCGTCCGCAGCCGCCGCCACAGATGACGGCGATATCTCCTGGTGGCGATCCGTAGACGGGCAATCGTGGACCAATCAGCGAGTAGTTGTCGTCACGCTACCGGCCGGGGCAGCTTCCGCGAAGGAGAGTCCTGCGGCGCCGCTTCCGCCGGCTTTTGCGGCGGGGTTGGCGCCGCGGCTAGCGGCGAGCGAAGCACGACTAAGCGGTCTTCACGCGAGCAGGAGCCTTGACGATTTGGATCCCCGCGCCGCCGCCGTAAAGTCAGCCGTTGCTTCAGCGTTCGCTCCTTCCGCCCATTCCGCGCACGCTTCCGCATCCCCCGCCTTCTCCGCGTTCCCCCATTCCCGCTCGCCTTCCGCCTCCCCCGTTGCCTTCCGCCGCCAGCCTGGGGATGTGTTCTTGCGCAAGGCGGCGGAGCTCGCGGGTCCCGCGGCTCGCCACGTGGCCGCCTCCGCGTGCTCGTTCGTGGGAGTCGCGAGCATCGCTGTATCTTGCGGAGCCGCGCTTCGATCCCTGCATCTGTCCCGCTTTATCGGCGACGTTAACGCCGCGCTCCTTGCGATCGCCGGCAAGTGCCGCCGTCTGCAGGAGCTCCACGTGGCGGTCTGCCCGCAACTCACGGCGATCCACGCGCAGGCGCAGCAGGGGGAGGGGGAGGCCAGCGAGGGCGGCGCAGCAGGCGATCGCAGCAGCAGCGGCGGCGGCAGCGGATCAGCTTATATCGGGGGCAGCGGATCTGGGCCTAGACGAACCCCTCGCGCTGGGATGGGGGGGATTGGGGGGAGCAGGGGAACTGGCGCGGGGGGAAGCGGCGGGCATGGCGGAAGCGGGGAAAGCGGAAGCGGCGGAAGCGGGGGACCTGGTGGCGGAAGCGGGGGAGGTCCGGGGGGCGGAGCTGCAGCAGTGCGGAGCGGATCGCTCTCCGCGCTAGTGAACGGGTGCAGGCAGCTGACGTGTCTGTCTCTGACTGGCTGCAGGGTGGGGCACGCGCAGGCGGAGGTGCTTATAAGGGGGATGAAGCAGCGGCTGTTGCGGCTCGAGGTGGCGATGGGCGGAGGATGGCGGGACGGGGGGAGCACTGTAGCCATGTCCGCGCTCTTCTCGTCCGTTGCTGGTAAGTGAAGTTCTTTTGACTCGACTCAGAAGACCTTTGACTTTAATATTGAGTTGACTTTTTGAGTTGACTCAGGAATCGCCTCGAAAGGGGGAGCACTGTAGCCATGTCCGCGCTCTTCTCCTCAGTTGCTGGTAAGGGGAGGGGGAAGTTGGGGGAAGGCGGGGGATGCAGGGAGGGGCGAGGTGAGGTGAGGAGAGGGGGAAGGTGAGGGGGGGAGTAGGGAGGTGGATGTTAGGGCAGTTCAAGAGTGTTAAGTGGGTGGATGGGCGGCATGAGGGGTTGGGAGGGGCGGGGAGCTTGTAGGATTGGCTTAAGGAAGGTATTGCAGGATATTCTACAGACTTCGCATCAATATGAGGAGAAGTGCTGGGCGAAGGCAGCAGGCAGAAAAAGGTGAGGATTGGGAATAGGAGGCTGTTCTTTTTTGTGTTGTTTTCTTTTTTTCTTTTCTTTTTTCACTCTCCTCCACTCTCCCCCCCCCTCGTCTCATCCTTCCTTACTCTTTCCTGCCTGCCACCCTTCTCCGTCGCTCCTCTTTGCCCATTCAGCCTGCTGTCCCAACATCGAGAGGCTGCTAGTGCGCACCACGCTCAAGGTGTCTGTCTGACGCTGCTTGCACCGCCCTCCTCCCTTTCCTTCCCCCTCACCCCCTCCCGCCCGTCCTCTTCCCCCCGTTCTCCCCTCCCATTCCCGCCCTCCACAGCCTGCTGTCCCAACATCGAGAGGCTGCTAGTGCGCACCACGCTCAAGGTGTCCGACGGTGCTCTCGCCTCTCTGCTCGCCTCTTGTCCGCGACTGACGCACCTCCACTTCGCAGGGGAGCGACTCACGCCCAAAGGTCAGTCCGTGACACACTAGTCAGTCACTCCCTCCCCTCCCCTCTCCTCCCCTCCCCTCCCCTCCCCTCCCCTCTCCTCCCCTCCCCTCCCCTCCCCTCTCCTCCCCTCCCCTCTCCCGCCGCTCCCCTCCCCTAGCATTCTGTTCCCCCTTTGATGCGTCTTGCAAGCACAAGATTCATCTTCTCAGCTTCTCACAAACTCACGCTGATAAAGTCTTCTCCTTCCATCCCCACCCCCTCATCCCATCCCATCCCCATCCCATCCCATCCTCCCATCCCATCCCATCCCATCCCCATCCCATCCCATCCCATCCCATCCCATCCCATCCCATTCCATCCCCATCCCATCCCATCCCATCCCATCCCATCCCATTCCATCCCCATCCCATCCCATCCCATCCCATCCCATCCCATTCCATCCCCATCCCATCCCATCCCATCCTATTCCATCCCCATCCCATCCCATCCCATCCCATCCCATCCCATCCCATCCCATCCCATCCCATCCCATCCCATCCCATCCCATCCCATCCCATCCCATCCCATCCCATCCCATCCCATCCCATCCCATCCCATCCCATCCCATCCCATCCCATCCCATCCCATCCCATCCCATCCCATCCCATCCCATCCCATCCCATCCCATCCCATCCCATCCCATCCCATCCCATCCCATCCCCATCCCATCCCATCCCATCCCACCCCAACCCACCGCATCCCACCCCTCCAGGCTACTCCGTCTGGTCGCGCCTGCTCTCCCTCTCCATCCCCTCTGCGTACTTCTCTGACGGAGCAATCGACGCTCTCCGTGCTCTCGCACCCGCCTCCTCCCCACCCTCCGCTCCCTCCCTTCCACCCTCCTCTCCTTCCAGTCCACCCTCCTCTCCTCCCCCTCCCCCTTCTCCCTCCCAACACCCCCCTCCTCCTCTCCTCCCCTCTCCTCTCTGGTCGCTCCACTCTCTCACAATGGACAACTGCCGCCGCCCCGAGGTCATACCCGTTATAGCGCGCCTCGCGCCCGGGCTAAAGCACGTGCGAATGAAGCATGTGGCAGGACTCACGGACGATCTACTGGCTGATGTGGGCCGGTTTTGCCCGGGATTGGCGTCTCTGGACGTCTCCTTCTGTCCGGCTATCACATCCTGGTATGGCTAAAGCGTTCCTTCAGGTTTGCAGCTATTTCATTATGGCTTACAGACGATCTACTGACTGAAGCTGCACATCGTCTGTAAGCCATAATGAAATAGCTGCACATCGTCTGTAAGCCATAATGAAATAGCTGGCTAAAGCACGTGCGAATGAAGCATGTGGCAGGACTCACGGACGATCTAATGGCTGATGTGGGCCGGTCGTGCCCGGGATTGGCGTCTCTAGATGTCTCGTTCTGCCCGGCTGTCACATTGCGGTGCTGCTGCTGCTTTGGTGCTCCTCATTTCCTGATTCGTTTCGCTTGTCTGCTTATTTTTCTTCGCTTCTCTTCTCTTCGCTTTTCTTTTTCCCACCACAACTTCACGGGTATGTTGTTGTGACCATCCGTCGTCTGTGGCCACAATCGGCACTCATTCCTCGTGTAGTGAGTCGATTCTTGAGTCGACTCAAAACTCGTCTGTGGCCACAATCGGCACTCATTCCTTCCTGCTACTCAGTTCCCACCTCCTTACCCTTCCCTATGGCCGTCAATCAAATCTTCCCTCCCTTCCTCCTCTCTCTCTCCTCACTCCGCTCTTTCCCTCTCCCTCCCCTCCTCCCCACCCCTCCCATTGCCACACAGCGGCATCTCATCCCTCGTGCGAGCATGCACACACCTCGAGTCCCTGTCCTGCCAAGTCACGGGGGGTGCAACCTCCTCATTGTCCTCCTCCACCCTCTCTGCCGGCTCTTCCCTCGCCCCTGTGCCGATGGACATTCAAGCCCTTGCTACTCTCGTCGCCTGCTGCCCTAAACTCACATGTAAGCTGCTGCTGCTGCTGCGTTTTGAGTCGGCAGCACACCTCGTCCTCCTCCACCCTCTCTGTTGGCTCTTCCCCTGTGCCTATGGACATCGCTGTTCATGTCAACGATTTCCCAATCAAAACGTGTTCGGTTCGTGTTGTGAGACCTCCTATTCTCTCTGGTCCTTCATCCTGGTTTTTGAGAATTCTCAGAAACTAGCTCGTATCGAAACGTGTTTGGTTCGTGTTGTGAGACCTCCTTTTTTCTCTGGTCCTTCATCCTTCCTCCACCCCTTCCACCTTCACATATTCCTTTTTCTTCTGCCCCCCCTTTGTCTTCCCTTCCACTCCCTCACTCCCTCCCCCCCCCCTCTGCTGATTCCCCCCCACACCCAACCCCAGCTCTCTCCTGTGATCTTCCCAGAGTACCGCTTTCCACTCCTCTCCTCCCACTCCTCTCCTCCCTCTCCTCACTCTCTCACCTCTCCCCACCCCACAAACCCCCTCAACCCACGCCATCTCTCCCCCAACCCACCACCTCCACACTCCCCGCCTTCCCTCTCTACACCTCCCTCCCCTCCTTCCTCCTCCTCACCTACCTCGGCCCAACCCTCCGCTCCCTCTCTCTCTTTGGCCACCCGTCCTGCGATTTCCCCGACATCAATGCCAGCCTGGCAGTCTTATCCTCCTCCTCCTGCTCGCGATTGGAACACCTGGCAATCCGCCACGTGGACAGTGTCATGGATTGGGCAGTCGAGGCGATGTGCCAGGCTGGCAGTGCAGTTGCTGTGAACCTGAAAAAACTATCTTTGGATGGAGTTAACTTGACGGATAGAGCGATGGGATTGGCTGCTGCGGCAATGCAGCGGCTGCAGGAACTGGAGCTGTTGCCAGCGGTCAATATTGGCTTGTCTGATGGATCTGATTTGGCGGACGGCGTGGATCGGCTGGATGTGGGGAACAGTAAGAGCAATAGCAGCAGTGCCGTGGGAATGGGGATGGGAATGGCCATGGGGATGGGGATGGGGATGGGTGTAGGGATGGGTATGGGGATGGGTATGGGTATGGGGATGGGTATGGGTATGGGGATGGGGATGGGGATGGGAACTTGTTCTGGTATGGGCACTGCAGGTGGTATGGGCATGGAGCCTCCTTGCCAGCTGTCAGAGTGTGCTGCCACGGCTGCGTTTGAAGCAACGCTGCCTCGGAAGCAGATGGTGCTGGTGTTCCGTGATAAGTGATGATGATACGGTACCCTGGAGGGAATCCGTGACTTTTGAGTCGACTCAAAAGTCACCCAGATGGTACTGGTGTTCCGTGATGAGTGATGATACCCTGGGGAGAATCCGTCGCAGGCGTGCGTGCGTCCGTGTGTGTGGTGGACCGTGGAGGGGAAGTGAGATGCGTGGGCAGACAGACGGACTGTTTTGACAAGAGGTGATGGAAACCAGTTGCGGATTCGTCTGGGGGGCGCAGGAATTGGGTGGTGGTGGTGTTTTGAGACAAGCGCGAGTCAAGCTCTGGGCTTGTGTGGGTCTTTTGGCTGGTGCGGTGGGGACGCAGAAAAGGGATGCAGCGGGTGGTGCTGTCGGGGCGTGGTGTTCCTCCGATCCAAGGCAGGTGTTTGGGGCAAACGGGTGATGCAGATGCTTAGGGTATATTAGGTGAAACAAAGAGATATATGTAGGACAGGAGGGGCTGGAAGAGGAGGGGGAACAGTTTACCAGCACCTGGTAACTATGACGGTGCATTGCCTAATGCTGTGCTAGTTCAGACTATATTGTATCATTACCGTGCGCTGTTTGCTTATGTTCGGTTGTGATAGTTGTATGCTTCATTTAGCTGGCAAAAGAGTCATGCATGTTCGTGAGTTCATATGCTTGATGTGGGGGGGCAGCACTGGAATTTAGATCTATATTCAGGGTTCCAAAGGGCATGAGAGACTATGCTAACGGGAAGTTGGCTTACGGTAGAAGTTGCTTGAAAGGAGATGATGCAGCATGCACACACGCCATGAGTGCACCCGGATTTTAGCATTTTCCAGAAAATCCTGTAGTTGCCAATATCTACAACCATATCAAGATGCATATACATACGGTAACACACTGCTCCAAGCGCTTGGTCAGGCCTGCAAGGCTACCAGAACCAGGCCGCAAACAGCAGCAGCTCCAATAAGTCGAACTTATGGACGACCCCACCAAACTGGTAAACCTTCCAATCCAAGAATCGCCTCCGAAAGAATAATGCTAACACCAGACATCATGATAGTAAATCACACGGCAAGACTCGGCACATGCAATTTCGCCAGCCAATCAACTCCACCCAGACTCCTTGCACCGTTCGCCGCTCTAAGCCTTGGGACGAGCAATCAGCTTATTGGCAACGAGGCAGGCCTGCAGGTCCTTCTGCAACTGTGAGCAGTCCGCGTTGGGAGTCTGAAGGCACTCCCAGAGAGCAGCGCAGTCGCACTCGCCGCTACCCAGCACCACGTGCTCCTTAGACGCGGTCGACGATGCGCCGTCTGCGGAGGTGGACACGGATCTCACGGCAGACTCAGCGGGAACGGCAGCCGGGAGAGCACCTGCGAAGGTGAAAAGGTAAGGTGAAAGGGATGAGTAGTTGTTTATATATGTAAAAGACGAGCTGGGTAAAAAGCAGATCTTTAATCATCTTCTTCATAAGGAATCCGTGACCCGGCTGGAACTTGATGTAAGAAGTTCACGAAAGAAGCACAAGAAATAAATTAAATCCGCAAGAACCTACAACATTGATGCGAAAATTATTTATATGGTGCACCTGTGACTTGACGGGAGGAGGTTGTCGATCCGCTGGAGGACAAGGTGAAAGCAGACGCGGCGACGGCTGCGCCAGCTGTGAAAATAGCAGCAGTTCGCACCAGCGACGAGGAGTCCTTACGGAAGATACCGCGGAGAGTGGCCATGGCGGATGGAAAGTGGAAGCGGGAAGAAGTTAGCGTAAGGGTGAGGCGGAAGCGATGTTGCAAGTGGAAGGTGGTGGTGAGTGCGGTGGTGGAAGAAGGTGAATGAAAGGATGAACTGCTACTGAGAGGGTGTAGGGGAGGACTAAAAGGCGAGACCTATTTTTGTGTGTGGGGATTGTGTAAGAAGGAATCAGCTTGTGGTTACCTCAATAGCAGCTCGCGAAGCATTTGCGACGAACAAGAGGGGTGACGGGAGGCACAACGAGAAAAAAACGATTTCGTCTTTCGCGAAGATTCTGTTGCAGGCCAGCGACATCCCGAACAAGGGTGTCGAGGGAGGGGTAGGAGGGATGTGACTGGCAGTGCCTGGTGGTCAGGGCTCTATTTTTCAGGGTGTTTTACTCTGTTTGCCCTGCCAATCAGGGTGTTTTTTAGGTGCGACTCTGCCAAAACTGGGTCCCCCCAGGACGTCACCCGGCCACAATCCGATTCCTTTTTATTTTATACTGCTGAAGCAGGCTTGCCATGGTTTTAAGCCTGCAGGTGCAGAGTTAGTCAGAGAAACACCCGAAATTCTCCCTTAGCCAAAAAGACAATGTCCCATGGGCCGTTCCGTTGGAAACGATGTGTGTCGTGAAAAAACGTACTGACTCACAGAGACAGATGTAGAGCGGTGCTGTCATCCTATTGGGCTGATTTGGTGAACTCCAACTCTGCTGTTGAAAAAAACCTAAGTGCTGAGACTCGCACAGACAGCTCTAGAGCATCCTGTGCCAGTCACAACAACACTTGTGGCAAAACAGGGTCCTCGGAAAAAGGACCCTGCCACAAATCAGGTGTGGAAAAAAAACACCCTGCCTTCCCTGATTTTGCCGCGCGCCACTCGGCTTGGTAGGGTGGCGGGCGGCGGGAACCCTGATTTGGAAGAGTGCCCTAAAATGAAAAGAGAGCCCTGCTGGTGGTGCTTTTTGTGGTTTGGTGGGAAGGAACCCATGAGAACTTGAGGGTTTGCGGTCAGGTTCGGTTCCAGTCTCCCCACCAAAAGTGCTACTGTCAGGGTGGTTCGGTGAGACAGATCAAACGAAACTCGTGGTTTGTGCTGCCACCTTAATTCCGGCATCTCCCATGATGCACTCCCATGACGTGGCATGCGTGTGCCGGTTTTGCGTTCATGATGATCTGCCATTGGTGTCTGAGAGATGCTGATTGGCTGTGAAGGGAAATATTCCAAGGTCCACTGGCTTCTTTGGGAAGCGAGTTCTGAAGCCAACCACAATTCCAGGTCTGCAGATTTGACTCGGAGCGACCCAAGATTTCGCAATTGCGGCACCTCTGCCTGCGTTCGCTATAGTGACAACGGGCTCGTGAACTGACGTGATACGTTCAACACATTAAGCATGTCCAGTACACTTTATACAAAACTGTTCGGTTATACATGGATATTCCAGATTGGAGTTTCCGTTCCGAACCGACATCTGATGGTCGGGAATAGCGTCCGCGATTATGCTGCACTTCTGCCGACATACCTAGTGTGCGTTTCATCCAACCCAGAAAAATAAGATTCAGCCCGTTTGTCAACAGACTCGAGCCCTGTGAAGTGAAGCTCCTTCATCCCTCCAAGCCGCTTCGCCCTCACGAACGTTGCTCCGATTTCTATCTAGCAATCCTCCTTCCCGATCCGTCAGCCTCCGTAGTAGTTTGGTCCCCAATCAGGAAACAGATTCGTTTTTTTCAAGAATCCATGCTGCTGTTCTCCTCGACCTCCGATGCAGCACAACCAAGCGAATTCCCTCGGTAACCTCGATTTCGCCTCAGTCGCAGGAATCCTCCCGGCGTCCGCGTCGGCAGCGGCGGCGGCGGCGGCGGCCGCAGCGGCACCCATGGCTCGAAGCACGAATCTGCTGCTCAGTAGCATGGCGTCAACGGCAATGAAAATGAACACATACGAATTCATCAGCCACATCAGCAGGTAGTACTGGCTTGTGAGAATCCTGTGAGACTCCTCAAGAGTGACTGTGACTTCCCCATGGCGTCTACAGTGAAGAAAAAATCACATACGAGTTCATCGGCCACATCAGCAGGTGTGAACTATTGGGAACGCTTACGAGTTCTGGAAATTCAGCTGGTTTCGCAGCCCGGCGCAAACGCGCGAGCGAGAGGAGATTCATGGGGTCGATAGCCCTTTGATTGGTTGGGATCCGCAGCTCGTACCTCTCACGGTGTACCTGGTAGTGTTTCCGACTGTGGGAGAGCTGGAAGGCGTGTGGGGGACCCGTGGAGTGGATTTGCGTACTGCCGTTAAACGCGAGTGCATCAGAACCTCCTTACAGCAGCAATACTCTCCCGCTCGTACATTCTGCATCGCCTTTTGCATCGTCTGTCCTTCAACTCGATCGCCGCTCCTGCATGGGGAGCCCCGGGAATATTCACATGAGGCCGCTGAACTGTTGAAACCCAACCCAGGGGTATCAATCTGAGGAATTTGATATAGAGTATGCTCTTGTTTCCTCCCTTTCACTACTCCCCACATGCAAGCATCGTCTCACCCCTCTCCTCAACTCATCTCACCTCACCCCAGTGATGGCGCGTTCTACGACGACCCAGACGCGGGCGGCAGCATTCGGCAGCTGCTGGCGAGCAAGTACGAGGCGGAACGCGCGCAGGGCATGAAGCGAGTGCTGGCGCTGCTGGCCACAGGGCACGACGCGTCTGAGTTCTTCACAGACGTGAGTGAAAGCCTGAAAGGGGTATGTGCATCTGCCACATGAGGGGTTGTACATCTGCCACTCATAAGTGGTGGTATGTGCACAGCAAGTATGCTTCCGAGTCCTTGCTTTATGTATGAGTGGCATATGTATTGCAGCTTATCACCTTCATGCGCGCGTCTCCAACTAATGCTATAACGTACAGGACCACACAACACGACACACTATACTATACCATATCATGCCATGTTGTACCACACCATACACGATCATACCTGATTTTTCAAAACACCTTGTTTATCTAAATAGTTGTGAATATTCTTGTTTAACACCGCAATCTACCACACCATACCACACCACGCCACACCATACCATACCATACCATACCATACCATACCATACCATACCATACCATACCATACCATACCACACCACACCACACCACACCACACCATGCTATACCATGCCATGCCATGCCATGCCATGCCATACCATGCCATACCATACCATACCATACCATACCATACCATGCCTTACCACCTGGCACCATACACCGTAAATCACACACCCTTGTCATGCATGCACCCTCATCCATGCATGGCGTTTCCCATGCACCAATAGTTCTGAGAAGATACATGTCGCACCAATAGCTTCCGGGTTGTCTTGTTGCTGCTGGTGGCGCTCACGCTCACTGCCTTTTGTCTGTTCTGTTTCGTGCAGGTGGTGAAGCTGGTGATCACCCCATCGCTCCCCATCAAGCGCATGGTCTGCTCATTCATCGCCCACTATGCTCAACGGTACGCCCGCCCTCCCATGCTCTCACATCACAATGGGGCACGGCATTTTGAGACGTCTCAAAACACTCCTTTTTTCACGTGCCTCCCATGCTCTCACATCACAATGGGGCACGGCACCTCGAATATAAAATTCCACCCCATCGCTCCCCATCAAGCAAGCGCATGGTTTGCTCCTTCATCGCCCGCTACACTCAATGGTACGCCCGCCCGCCCTCCCATGCTCTCACTTCTTTTCTAAGGCGCCTCAATATAGCAGCGTCTTCTTCTGTACGAGGCACCTCAGAAGTTTCACTCACCACATCCCTTCCATGTCCTCACAACGCTCTCCAGTACCCTATGCCCACGAAGATGTGGGTTCGAACCGCAGCAAGCGGAGTGGTCTCCTCAAAGTCCCTATGCCACGCTAACCCCACTCTGCCTGCAACACCACCTTCAGCACATCCCGTGTTCTCCCCCCTCCCCCTTCCTCCTCCCCCCCACCCCTCCCATCCGCCCATCCGCACAGCCGCCCAGCCGCCCATCCGAGGCCCGAATGGTGATAAACACGCTGCACAAGGACGTGGGGGACTCAGACCCAGCAGTGCCCGAGTCAGTGCCACCTCCCCACCCCTCTACTTTTCCTCTTTCCATCTCCCCCCACCCTTTCATCATTCACCCAGCCGTCCCTCCGAGGCCCTAATGGTGATAAACACGCTGCACAAAGACCTGGGGGACCCGGATGCAGCAGTGCGCGCCCATGCCCTTACAGCACTACTCAAACCACCATCCCCGTATCCCCTTCCCCATCTCCACTCCCCCAGCCGTCCCTCGGAAGCTCTTATGGTGATAAACACCCTGCATAAGGACCTGGGGGACCCGAACGCAGCAGTGCGCGAGTCAACACAGCATCATAGCACGACTCTAACCCACCTTCACCCCCCCAGCCGTCCATCCGAAGCCCTGATGGTGATAAACACGCTGCACAAGGACCTGGGGGACCCGGATGCAGCAGTGCGCGCCCATGCCCTGCGCGCCATTGCCACCATCAGGGCACCTGCCTGCACCTTCCCACCAACCCCATGCCTGCCTCCAACCCTTGCCACCGCGGCTTATCCCATATCCACCACACACTCCCTACAACCATTCTGCCCTCCTCCCGACTCCCTTCCCTTCTCCAGCCGCCCCTCTGAAGCCCTGATGGTGATAAACACGCTGCACAAAGACCTGGGGGACCCGGATGCAGCAGTGCGCGAGTCAACACGACTCCTTTACTCATCTCATACCCCTTCCCCACGTCCCCTCCTCCCAGCCGCCCCTCGGAAGCTCTAATGGTGATAAACACGCTGCACAAGGACCTGGGGGACCCGGACGCAGCAGTGAGAGCGCACGCTCTCCGCGCCATTGCCGCCATGCGCCTGCCGGCAGCGCTGCAGATCGCGTGTCTGGCCGTGGGGCGGGTGGCGAGAGATCCCTCTGCTCTCGTGCGCTGCACCGCTGCTCTTTGCCTGCCTGCTGTGGCCGCCGTGGGGGGAGAGGCTGTGCAGGAAGAGGTTGAGGAGGTGAGATTTAGAGTGTTTAATGGTGGGAGATGGGGGAAGACAGGAGGGGAAGTGTGTGTGGTGTGTGGCGGGATGGGTATAGGCATTGGTCAGCCCACACACACCTGCCTTGCGCTTGCTCCTGCGAGCCATCGCCGCCATGCGCCTGCCTGCAGCGCTGCAGATCGCGTGTCTGGCCGTGGGGCGGGTGGCGCGAGATCCCTCTGCTCTCGTGCGCTGCACCGCTGCTCTCTGCCTGCCTGCCGTGGCTGCTGTGGGGGGAGAGGCTGTGCAGGAAGAGGTTGAGGAGGTGAGATTTAGAGTGTTTAATGGTGGGAGATGGGGGAAGACAGGAGGGGAAGTGTGTGTGGTGTGTGGCGGGATGGGTATAGGCATTGGTCAGCCCACACACACCTGCCTTGCGCTTGCTCCTGCGAGCCATTGCCGCCATGCGCCTGCCGGCAGCGCTGCAGATCGCGTGTCTGGCCGTGGGGCGGGTGGCGCGAGATCCCTCTGCTCTCGTGCGCTGCACCGCTGCTCTCTGCCTGCCTGCCGTGGCTGCTGTGGGGGGGGAGGCTGTGCAAGAGGAGGTGGAAGAGGTGAGGTTTATTGGGTTTTCGAGGGTGGGAGATGGGGGAAGGGGAACGGGAAGGAAAGGGGAGGTTCCACTGCTGCTATGTGCCTAATTCCCTTTTCATCTTCTCCCCTCCCTTCAATCTCCTCTCTCTTGCCCCTTCTGCCCTTCTTTCCCCTCTCAGCTGCTCTCCGTGTTCCTATCAGACTCCTCCCCCTCGGTGGTGGGAGCAGCAGCAGCCTCATTCTCGGCCATCTGCCCCCACCGCCTCTCCCTGCTGCTGCCGCGCTTCCGCTTCCTCTGCCACCTGCTAGCCGACCTAGATGCCTGTGGGCAGACCACTCTGCTGGGCTTGCTGCTGCGCTGCGCTGCTTATGCGCATGTGACGGTAGGGAGGGGCAGTTTGGGAGGGATTGGCGGGCGAGAGGGAGTGGGAGGAGGAGCGGATGGAGGAAGCAGCGGGGGAGGAGATGGGGGTTGGGAGGGACGAGGAGGAGGAGCAGCAGCAGAGGAAGGTGTGAAGGGCATTCGTCCTCCTTCCTCTTCTGCGTCCCTCACCCGTCACATACCTTCAGACGTGCAGCTGCTGCTGCGGTGCTCCCAGGCGCTCCTACACAGCAGCAGCAGCAGCGCAGTGGCAGCAGCGGCGACAGTGCAATGGGAGCTAAACCCTAGTGATGCTGACGTTGGAACACTCGTTGTGCCGCCGCTGCTGTTTCTCCTTCGCTCCACGCCCCATGCACAAATGCCTGTGAGTCAGCTCGTGAGTGTGTGGCCTCATGCAACACATGCCTGTGACTTCTTACGCTCTCTTTTGAGTCGACTCAAAAGTCACCTCAACACATACCTGTGACTTCTTACGCGTTCTCCCATCCCTCATCCCCCGCCCCCATCAGGTCCTAACCATTATATCCACCATGGCCCATCGCCGCCCATCCATCTTTGTACCCTACATGCACCTCCTCTACCCCTCTGCGGCCACCACAGGCCTGTTCCAACTTCCAACCAACCAAGACAGTGCCACACCCTCTCTCTCTTCCCAAACCCCTAGTCCTTGTCTCACCCATTTCCCTCCCCTGTCCCTCTCCCCCGTCCCGCCCCCCTCCCCACCACCCTACCCCCATTTTCCCCCACCAATCACTCCCCCATCCCTCCCCCATCAGGTCCTAACCATTATATCCACCATGGCACATCGCCGCCCATCCATCTTCGTACCCTACATGCATCTTCTCTACCCCCCACTGCCACCTGAAGCCTGTTCCAACCTTAGGCATTGCCGCACTCTCTGTTCCCAAGACATTGGTCCTTCCCTCCCCCATTTCCCTCACCTGTCCTCCTCCCCCGACCCCCTCCCCACCACCCTACCCCCATTTCCCCCCACCAATCACTCCCCCATCCCTCTCCCATCCCTTCCCCATCAGGTCCTAACCATTATATCCACCATGGCCCATCGCCGCCCATCCATCTTCGTGCCCTACATGCACCTCCTCTACCCCTCTGCGGCCGACCTGCCCCCTCTGCGCGCTCACAAGCTCGCCCTGCTGCCTCTCCTCGCCACGCCTGCCAACGCCTCTGCCCTGCTGCTAGAGCTCCAGGTATTCTCTTCAACTTAGACAATATTTGAGGCGCCTTAAACA